GCAAATTTCTTGAAGACAAAAACTTCCGGGAGTCGAAAGATTTTGGTTCTCGAGTGATAATTTGCATAAGATTCACTATTTTTCCCCATCCAAAACAACCCACTGCAACCCTAAACATAATCACCAATCACTGATTCAATCAATCAAAATCTTTCACTACCACGAACTTTATCCATTTATTGTACAATGTATAGCTCATTTCTAGTAGCTACATTTGTAGAATTTTAGACTAACTGGATTTCTTATGGGGTGCAATTGTCCGCGCCGGGGCTGGTAGAGCGCGAGGGTGTCGGTATTGCTTATTGCACTGTAGTGACCACCCCATCTATTCCCCGGGCCCCGACGCTATTTGCCGCGTCGTGACTCATAGCATAGCGTCGGCGACGTCGAATTCCGATAGGGATTCCCCGCGGAGCGAGGGAAAAAAGGGGGCAGCGGGACGGTTGAAAGGGTAGATTTAGACGCTGTTGCTCGATTGTAGTACTTGTTACCTCGATTTCGCCAATCGACAATCCGTAGAGCTGGTGAAAGAAACTCGAGGAAATTGGGAGGATTTTTTAGATTTTTTAATTCATTCCGCCCGCATTGCTTCTTTATGAATTCCGGAGGAATTGCAACAGATGCCCGGGGTGTAATTGAAGAAATTAGCCCCGGCCACAAATCACCCGTTTTAATATGTAACCACCCTTCGGCCCGCGCGGTTTCCATCCGACATAATGCCATCAGAAAATAACGCCTGCAATCTTAAATATTAGGGGGTGATATTTCATGCGTTTGTAATTCCGAAGCATCAGAAGAGTGCATATTTTAAGGGGGAGGTTGCGTTTGATTTGATTTCTGTTTGTACTCGCAAATTATAACAGACATCTTATCAAGAATTAAAGTTGGAAACGAACGCAATAATTGCCAGGTATATCGCGTCTTTCGATTACATTTCGCCGTGATTTCACGCCTGAACTCTCGTAATCACGAAAGTTTCGCAAAACACACTCATCTTCGGGCATTAGCATGCAAATTCGAAATCTTCCAGGAGATATTTAACCGGTGTCGTCTGCGGCCGTTCGCTCGAGGCCAGACAACTGTTCGTAAAAATAATTCGCGCAATTTTGCACTCGAAACGAAGGCAAGGAACGCATCAAACCGAATTGATTTCGGGGGCAAAGGGAAGAGTCTCTGCCCTCGTGCCCTTCTCCCGTTCCTTTCGTAGGACTGTTACGCCCGTCTAAACACAATTTAGCTTTTCGCTGAGAGCGAAGGTAGGATGGGAACACGGAAAGCTGCTCCGGTGCACTCATAATTTATCCCGATAGGCCCCCGAGGTGCGCCCTTATCCTACTACTTTTACCTTACACTGAAGAACCCTACTATTCCGCCATAGGTTCTACGAATTTCACCGATATTTGGTCACGATCACGGTCCTATATTTCTAAGGTCTGGAAACATAGGTCGAAAAAGTGTTCCATTTTTTGAGGATAAAACAGGGTTTCTAAAACGGCCGCTAGCCTTCTTAATTAGCATTAAGAAAGGTTATATTCGAACTAAAAATAGATAGAAAATATAAAAATATACCTTAATCAGCGATGATATTGTTGTTAACATCATGCCCCACGTATCTTCGGTTAATGTATTTCTCCATTTTCTCCTCGAAATGTCAAATAATAATTTTTGAAGTTTTGACAGCTTGAACTGTCATCTCACAAATATAGGGCCGTGGTTATGATACACTATTTTAGATTATAAAATAACTGAGTTTATGTGAATTTGGGGTAGAATTGCGCAGTAAACTACATCAAAGAGTTGATGAATTGCGCTGGTAAAAAAATTTATGGTAAAGAGGCAGCTGGTGGAAAACACGCGCGCCGGTTTTCCACCTTCAAAGTGAGCGCCTATACATCGAGATTCGGTCTGTGCCCCCCCGTTTTAATTACATGCACCGCTTTTTGGCTGCGGGCTAACGGGCGCTCGTAGACCCGAGCTTTGCTCACTACAAAGCAAATATTCCAATCCAATTTTCATACGGTTACCGAATTCCAGAACGAATTTTCGGCGATATAGATAAGCGGTTTTAGGTAGAAGCACAAACTGCTCGTACCGTCATAATTTTGAAGTTAATAGTCAATATGATGCTAGTAATTTACAATAGTTTATTGGAGAAAGTTGTAAAGAAACGGAGTAAAGTAGTAAATTTGTTATGTTTATGTTTGTACCCAAAAAATAAGTTACTAGAATACTGTCATTAATGTCAAGTAAACGTCAACTCGATGAAATCTCGGTAGAAATAACGTGTTTTGTTAATTTTTTTCTAGTTTTTCCTGTGCTTTTCCCGAATAAAAGCGTATCAACATAGTCTTTAATTAATGATAGGTAAAAATAGGGACATTTCTTGAAAATAATAACAACTGTGCACTGTTGGTTGCATAAATTTTTAGATCACGTGGTAATCAATCATCCAACCAATCATAGTTCATGGTTCGCATAGACAAATCCTGGTCCATTACGGCCTATCAAAATCTATCAACATTCGAACTACTGATTCTACTATTATCAATTCTCCAACTTTTCCATCAATTTCCGCCGGTTTCCACTCTACTTTTTTCCCGCACACCGAGAGCCCTCCCGGCCTCCTCTGACGCCTCGAGTTTTTCGGTAATTCGGCGAATCGAGCATCCTTCGGGAGATTATCAAGTATCCCGAGCACGTGCCATCGGCGCACGCGCACCATCTCCCGCCTTTAATGGCAAATCCATACTGCAACAACGGCATCGCATCGTATCGGCGGCAAAACGTGCCACAGGAATGCGGGAACTCGAACCGGGAGCTTCGGCAGACGGGAGCGATAATGGAGAGGATTTAATGATGTCGACGACGGCGCTTTGTCTGGACCGATTCATTCACCTATAGACCTTTATCCTATTGATATACAGGTTGTTCCATTTTTGATCGCAACATAGGCTATATAGGCCATGGGTGCGATAAAGACAACTTCAATTAGACACTTATAAAGGAAAAGGAAAGAGTGACGTTTGTGTCATTGCAACTTTTCACTCTGTCAACTGTCATTTTAATAATCTTTCTTTGTTTCACTCATAGAAATGACCATGTTGCAATCGGAAATGGAGCAAGATGTATACTTCCATCTTGGTGTTGATAACAGAAGCAACGTACAAGAAATTATAAGATTTTGATGCTTTCTATACACCTGGAGAGGTTACGTTATAAACCAGTAATTGTATTGGTCGTATAAACCAAATTCTATCTAAAAGTTTGTACAACCAAATGTAAGTGTATTACAAGAAAAAGGAGTTCTTTAAATCCTCGGTGACGCCAATGCGAGCCTCACAGGGGTGTTCGGTGGAAAGTGGAAACTCTTTTCCGAACTAAGTTCGAGCGCTTTTCCGAAACTTTTCCTCGGGCGGGTAGACCGCGTGGCGCGACGTAATGTAGCAACTTGGCGGTTTCTTCTTCCTCTCCATCGGCCTTTTGCTGGGCGGGAAGGAGGCGAGGAGGGACCCTCGCTAGATGCGTATCTCGGCCGCATCTGCATAACATCGATATCTTATTTTCGAGCGGACCGGCTTTGAATTACAAGCGGAATATGGAAATTAGCACGGGAACTGTATCTACTCTTGGCGGAATAATAGAATCGTAAGCGTTCGGTGAAGATGTTGAATTTTTAAAGAGTCTACTCGACAATAATTGGGCGATTGAAAAATGCAGTTAACAGATTTTCAACTCGTTGAAATTCCCTCATTAACTCCGGAATTTTCCAATATAAAGCGAAGTTGGAACGGGAAAAAAGTGTTCGTAAACGTACCTACTTCCTCTTAAGTAAACAGACATTAATTTACAGCGGCTATTAATAACTAACCGTTAGTTAAGTGGAAATAAAATCAGTCATTACTCTTTCTGTCGTTTTTCTTTTGAAAAACCGGGAACCGTCTGGCGGCACTAATTATCCGCCGTTACGCCACCTCTGGATCTTTTTACTGCTGCATCGGATCGCTGGAACTTCGCGGAATTCGACGGAAAATATGGGGAAATTGGCGATACGTATCTGCGTTATTGAATCCCGTTCGAAACTTTCCAGGCTCTATTTCAGAAACGGTCCGTTTGTGATCGATGCGCGGGACTTTTGCGTTCAAATTCAAAGGCTATAACGTATCCAAAAGAGGTTCTTCCGCTAGATAAAACAATCAAATCGCCTAAATAATTAGCAGTTAAGTATCCGTGTAATTAATTTTCGGTTAATGTTGAAATTGTGCTGCCAGATTTTTGGAACAAAGCAGATATGGTGGAATGATTAATTGCGTTTCCATAATTCTTTTCAATTTTCGGTGTGTATTATACGATAGGCCGGTCACGTAATTACGCCATTTTCTGGGGTAATAAATATATCGGGGTGTAATTGATGCACCTGGTTGGGGAAGCCGGAAACACGTGACAGCACGCACGAGGTAAAATAAGTAAATATAGGTTTGTAATTTACATTAGGGATATATAAAACTGGAAATTCGACGACTTCAGTTTAAATTATTAAAACTTGAATCGATATTTTCAAAATGTGCAGGACCAAAAAATACAAAACTCACCTGTTATTTTGACATTGATTGGATTGACTTTGGTAAATGTGTATCATTTAGCCCTCTTCTGATGGCCCTTTCTTAAGTGTGACATTAGCTCAACATTTACAATTCGTTTAGTACAATTATTCGAAGAAAGGTCGACGTTTTATTATTATAAATGTGTTTTTAATTGAAACAAATCCAGTGAATTATTGTTTATGAAGTGCACCTTTTATTTTGTACTATACTCGATTATATGTACAGGGTGTTTCATGAAGCACCTTGTATTTAGTGTGATAAAGGAATTTGGGATAATTTAATAAAGAATACTACTCAAATAATGTATTTACATTCTAGACGATTCTAGTCGAACTTTACAGGCAATTAGGCTATTTATGTTATAAAAAAAATAAAATATAACAAAAAACAAAACTACATTGAATGTATGCGTTAAATAATTAAATAAGAATAAATAATAATTTCTACATGAATTATACATATGAAACAATGTTTGAATAAGGTTAAACATAGGACTGCTCCATAATATCCCATATTTTATACTGTCGGTAATTATTGTTTATTATGAGTTTATTTTAGGCCCGCGTTCAATTAAAATGTGGATTAAAAATCAAACAAGTACAGCTTCAATTTAAAAAATTTGTACTACAATGAGAATGTTCCTAAAATTAATCTGTACATATAGAACTTTAAAAGCCATTAAAGAGAACAGGCAAATGCAAATATTCAAAAAAATGCAAGATAATTATAATAATGTTGAATTAAACCGTGACAAATAAGGCTTCTATTTACATCCACAATTCGTTATATTAGCAAAATCACTAATATTAATTTTAATTGCATTTTGATTTTACTGGTTTTATTAATTGCTAGTTTTATTCTTTTACCATCTGACAAAAAAAACGCCAGGTTGTTATTTTCCTAAACAATATAAAATATAAATAAATCGAATAATTTCGATAAATTATTGCTTCCTTTAAGTACGTGCTAATTTAGCGACAAAAACGAATATACAGTCTTATAAAAGCCATGTTAATTTCAAAACCAGATTGATATGATTCCCATCTCAAACGTCCACCCCAAAACAACTCGAAATACGAGAGAAAAATCTCCCAAAATAACTTCCCAAAAACTACGAGTAATACTCCCTTACTGTTTGTAAACTTTATTTCGATCACGACCACCCCTTTTCCGCGGCGCCATCTTAGTCTTTCCACCCATTTCACCCTAACAACGTCAAAATAAACAAGCAAAATACGCGATTCAAAATGAAATGATTATCCTAGCTGGTGCACGACTGCACCCACGGATGGTCCAAGACGTCCTCCGCGGAAAATCTCACGTTCGGATCCAATTGCAGCATGTTCTGGATGAGTTCCTTCGCCGACGACGACACGTCCTGCCAGTACTCCTCGGGAAACTCGTACTGGCCCGACAGGATGCAATCGAACAGTCGCTCCTGATCGTTGTCCTGGCTCACAAACGGCGGATAACCGCAGAGGAGAATGTAAAGGATTACTCCTGCTGCCCAAACGTCGATCTACAACAGTTATTAGTGTAGAGAAAATGGCTTCGAAATGATTTATCGAAAGTAGGATAAGGGGTCAAGTTATCGTTGAAACACCCCGTATAATAAATACCTTAAGGGCGTATCCCGTTTCGGCGAGAATTTCTGGAGCTACGTAGGTGGGCGTACCGCAAACGGTGTACAAAGGCGACTTGACCTCGCAGGCCAAACCGAAATCTCCCAATTTCAACAACTTTATCTTGTTATCCTCCAATTCTACCTGAAATCCAAACGTTAGGAATTCGATCGTACGAACGTACACGTATCGAACACTCACTAATAAATTTTCAGGCTTCACGTCTCTGTGGACGATGTTCATGTTGTGTAAATAGGCTAAGGCTGAGACTAGGTGATTTATCATTAAGGCCGCTTGCTCCTCGGAGTATTTTTGAGCTACTGTTATTTGGTCGAACAAATCACCGCCTGCGAAAGGAATACTATTTTATTTTTTTGATAAAACAATTTAAAAGAAAAAGTACCTGAAACGTATTCGCAAACTAAAAATAGAACGGGTTTGGTATCTGCATCGGCTATCAACGACATGATATTCGGATGACTAACTTTCCTGAGTATCTTCACTTCGTTCTCTATCATTTCCTCCTAAAATGATATCAAATTAAAAGTCCACTATAGAAAATAGCTCTACGGTTTCTCACTTTTCCTTGGCATTTAGATTTGTCTATTATTTTCAACGCGAAATCTTCATTCGTCACGTTATCCCTACACATTTTGACTACTGCGAAATTTCCTGCAAACAAAAAATAACTTCGAATCGCAACGCAAACGCCGAATAAAGTCAACTTACCGTCTCCTATAACTTTCCTTCCTACAGTGAACTTGTTCCTCAGAGGTAGAGGCAACAATAAATTACTATCTTCGCTCAATTTCTTTAGCAAACTCTCTTCGGATTCTTTGTTTCTGTTCATCTCTTTGTTGGGCATCTTGGGCTTCGGACCGGCTCTGATAAAATCGCATTTTAGTATTAAAAAATCTCAAATAATCGATTGACAGCTTACCCATTTCTGTGAACGGTGATCTTCTTATACGATTGTATAACTTTGCTCTCTTCGAACTCCAATTCGAGATCGTTGGGCGACGATTTCTCGTTGCCGTAAATGAAGAAAACCTCATCGTCCTCGAAAAATTGCGACAGATCGTTGACGGAATGTCCCGATAACGTGATCACTTTCCTGACGGCTATTTGCGCCTGCTCCGAGAGCACGCTCAACACGTGCTCTAAACTCGGCGAGTTGCGCTTGTTCAACAGTAGTCTTAAAATCTGGAAATAGAGAAAAATGAATGGGGTTTAGAACGGGGCTTTATTTGAGGAGAAACATCGTCGGTTTGGAGAGAAGAATTTTATGAATTTTAATCTTGAAATATAGTAGAATAATTGGGCTCTAAAGAACAGTGAGCTTGAGGCTCATTTATTGAAGAAACATGGGTGATTTGGAGAGAAGAATTTTATGGAATCGAATCTTGAAATAGAGTAGAATAAGTTGGCTTTAAAAAATAGTGAGTTTGAGGCTCATTTATTGGAGAAACATGGGTGTTTTGGAGAGAAGAATTTTATGGATTCGAATCTTGAAATAGAGTAGAATAAATTGGCTTAGAATACATGGGCTAGAATTTCATTGCTAGACTCAAATTCGGAGCGAAACAATCCTTTAATTTCCGACGGTATCCATTCAGATTACATATAAAAAAAATCGTTGCTCCAACATTAATCACAATTTGCGGAATTCAGTTAATTACACAGCTGCGGCTTGTAACACGAGAGGTTACGTAAGACATATAGGAAGCAGCCTTGACGGTTTTAGAAGAATCTCGCCGGTTGAAAAATCAGTTTACCGCCGTCGGCGCTCGACTTGTACGGATATTATTAGAACAGATACCGAAAGAAGGTGGAATCGCTCCAACCCGAATATCGATTATATTTTTGGGCCCACTTTAATCAAGAATCTAATAGATAAAGATTCGACAAATTCTATAAAAAAACTCTCATAGATTTCGTAACCGTTATAATTTTAGCATGTACGCGATAGTGTAAAGGAGTTATCGAACCCCTACTTCCTATATTGTTATTGTAGAATATATTTCTATACAAACATGGTCCCATTAGAATCGATTTAACAACGCATTAGGGGTCTATTTCCAAATCGGAATTGCCAATTTCCGCGATTCGGGGTCGTCGCTACCGGCAGCGAAGAGCCATCGCGTGCATTAAAAATACTCAAATTCACTATATTAACACGTCGGCTGCCGCGACGAGGCCACGGAGATCGTTCGATGCCGGTCTCGTAATACCGGAGCGTCAGCCAACGTGTCGATCAAGCGTGAGAAATGCAAACCTTTCTGGGTTTTATTCCGTTCTTGATGACCGTCACGATTCTGGGCCGGACGCAATCGGGCACGACGATCCTGGGCACCATCGTCGCGCTTTGCGAGTGGTACCTGACGTTCGGATTTCGTTTGGGCCGAAGGGTGTCGGCTTTCGTGTATTCGATTTTCTTGAAGAGCTCCCCTTTGCCGCACACCACGTACTCCTTGCCGTCCTCCAAATCGTTGATGCTCGATACCTGCAACATTACATCGTGAATTGGGGCCCGATCCGGCGCTACTTTTTAGAGTAATTAGGGACGTTGTTTGGATTAAAAAGACTCTTTAAATGCGCGGTTTTGGGTTAAATTGAGGCGCTGAATACGGGCCTATGTTTCGATTTAGAAGGTTAATTAACGAGCTGTGTAAAAGTGTATTATTTCTCGATATAAAATACCATTAATCAATCTTTTTGTTTAGTCATGGAGCTTATTAGTTTTTTTTTTTCGTATTCGCCCTACTTTGAGATAATGTTTAAAGTTGTTCTGCCTATCTTTTGGTTTTCTTTGCGGGCTGTAATAATTGTTTTGTGCTCTGATTGTTTGAATTGTAATATACGAATTGTTCTTTTGTAGAATGAACGGTATGAGACCTATTTAACATTTTATACATTTCAAATACAAATAGCTTTACTATAAAAACCGCAATCTGTTGATAATATTTATCAGATCAGAAAAAACATAACAGGAAAAATGCGATATGTAATTGTAAAAAACAGTAGTTTAATAATGCAATGAAATTAAACTCAATTCGTTGCTTTGATGCCCTATCGAATAATTATTGATTTAATAAAAAGTCATTGACATCAAGGTGTCTTTGAATGGGGGATTGATAAATTAAACATGCATAAGATATGCATACAGTGAATGTCATAAAATTGCATCATTTTCTACTCAACCAGACAAAAAAACAAATAGTTTAAAGCCCGATAGGTATTATTATGGTTATGCAAGGAATTATTCACGACTTAAACACTGCATGTTTTGCGATTGAAATATTTTTTTACATAAATTGATAGAGCTATCTTACCTTTTTACCATCCATGGAATAAACGTTTCGAACACCATTGGGCAACGTGACACTTTTGGTGAGGATGCTAGTCAATTCGTTCGTTAGGCTATCGAATGATCTGTACCTTTCGGGGGCCACGGGTATAACAACCCCGTTAAAGAATTTATTACCATTGTGATAGAATCGAATTCTCTTGGCCTTTTGAGCTTTGGATGTAGACGAAGGTCTGTTGTGTTTGTTACTGATGGAAATATCTTCTAAACCACTTTCTATAATTTCCCCATCTGATAAAAAACTATTGAAACTATTTGACGAGACGCTCCTCGACCCGTTCAGGTTGTTTTTCGACATTTCCGTAAAATTTTTAAAGGATTCTTTCACAATAACATTTTGTCACAAAGTTACGGTAAATTTTTCAGACTTCAATACGGGAACACCGCCTATTAGTCATACATCTGTCATTAAAAATTGTAAATAAATCAAACTAACACAGGTAAAGGACAATCCGGAAACTTTAAATGAAACCAATCAAAAGCACAGACGAAACGGCAACAAAATATCGGCGAACACAATTTTTATCGAGTAAATAATTGGAAACTAAAGTAATAACCTCATTCGGCTACTGGGAGAGATTTTGAGTAAATAATTAATACACTGTCGCCAACTTCAATATTAAAAAACTATGAAAATATACGTTAGAATGACAGCTACTTTGAAATCGGACGTTTCTTATTACTTATGTCAGCCACTTAAATAAAACTAACACAAATTATTAAATAATGAACTTTTATTAGTTATTATTTATCAAACAAGTTCATATAACCATCTTTTCTGTATTGTTTGAACTCTTCATATTATAGCTGACAATGTAACACTAATAAGTAAAAGACCTAAACATAAAAGTTTCGACATTTGACAATTACGATACATGCTTATAATGTAAGGTTATGTTTCCTTAAATTTATTTATTATTGTGCGGGTGTTGTAAATTTTCTATTAAATAAAATGGTCAGAAAACTCAAATATCACGAACAGAAGCTTCTGAAAAAAGTCGACTTTATTTCGTGGGAGGTTGACAATAATTTACATGAAGTAAAAGTGCTGAAGAAATATCACATTCAAAAAAGAGAGGATTATACAAAGTAAGCAACTGGAATATTGAACATTTCAGTTTAATTTAAAGTCAATTTTAGGTATAATAAACTATCCAGAAATATTCGCGAAGTTGCCAGGAAAATTAAAGAAATAGATCAGAAACATCCATTTAGAACAGAAAGTAGTGCCCGATTGTTGGAGAAATTGTGAGTAAAACATAATTTACACAATTTAAAGTAAACTTACGTTTCTTGTAGATACTTAATGGGTTTAATTCCAACCAGATGGGATCTCAGTTTAGCAGAGAAAGTCACTGCATCGTGTTTTTGTAGAAGACGATTAGCAGTACTAATGGTTAGAAGTATGTATTAATTTAATAAATTAGTTAAATTCATTTTTATAATAAATTTCTTATAGACAAGATGTCGGAAACTATAAAAAATGCGACCAAATTAATCGAACAAGGTCACGTTCGAGTCGGTCCCGAATTAATAAAAGACCCAGCTTTTCTCGTCACAAGAACCCTGGAAGATTTTGTTACGTGGGTAGATAGTTCGAAAATTAGGAAACATGTCTTGGATTATAATGGAATAGTAAGTTTTCTCAATGTAAAAATTCTAATATACTAATTTTCGTATGTTTGCAGAGAGATGATTTTGAAATGTAAGAAGATTGTTGCCGAGAAGTGAGGAATTTCAAGTTTATATTTAATAAATAGTTTTTAATTTATATTTGACTTTTTTTTAAATACAAAAGGATATCTTATGTAAACAAGGCCATAAAGGATGAAGTTTCTACGTATCATTTGTCTTGGTTCCAACTTCAGTTTGCTTATTGACAAGTGATAGATCAAATGTCATTTATTTTGACAGATTTATTTTGGTTATGTTATTGTAAATAAATTTTGGAATTTGGTAGATGCAAATAAAGTTCGATTGATTAAAATGAGTTTATTGAAATCCGAACTCAACAGTTTACTGACATCCGTTCCGGATTACATTCAAAAAGTCAAGTGCGATGCAACTGAAAAGTAAGCTATTCGTTTGATGAAAGATTATTATTAATTTTGCTAAATTTACAGGACTCCGCCATTTAAATGCGCAGTCAAAACATGTTTCAATAGCTTCTTACGATACAAAGACCACATTAATTGCCCCTACAAGTTTCATAAATTCCCAGTCACCAACAAATCCCTTTGTAACGTATGGAAATTAAAGTGCGGTTTAAATAGAACGGACGATGTGGAGAAATTAATGGTAACATAAAACATGGTTTATTAACTAAATTTATAATAATTTTGTATTATAGGTTTGTTCAGATCACTTCAGCTTGGACGATTACTTGAGAAACTACAAAGAAGAATTCACGAATCCCAATTTTAAAAGAACATTGAAACCCACTGTATATCCCAATTTAAAATTAGGTAAACTAGAGAAGCCGGAAGACAATATTAATTCAAATGAAGAGTCTCAGATGGAAACGAACACAGACTCGCCTGAATCCGAGGAAGATGAAAGTCAACGAGAATTCCTTAACGAAGTGCGCAAAGAAGTAGACTATAACAAGGAATTAACCGAGAAACTCGATACATTACAGAAGAAATTAAACAAGCTTCAGTCAACATCAAAACACTTGAGTGCTAAGCAACGTAAAGTGATAATTAATAAGAAAGCTGAGGATTTAAGAGTGTTGAAAAAATTCTTCAGCGATACACAAATTAAGTTATTAATGGGTCAGGAAGCAACCTGGACGAACGATGATCTAGCCAGAGCGTTTACGATTAGACATATGGGCTCAAAAAAGTGCTATTTGTATATGAAGAATACACTCAATATACCTTTACCATCACTTTCTTGCTTGCAAAAATGGGCAAATTCGTAACAGTAATTATATCAAAACACCTTTATTATTTAATATATGTATAATACGTTACAAAAGTATGACTTATGTTCAAAAATTAAGAATTGATTACTGGAACTTTTCCAGTAAATTTAGATAACTGAAATGTATAGCTCTATTAACGACGTCGTGTATAATTTTTATACAAAAAAAATGTACATTTAATAACTAAGATGCAATAAATTAATTATACTGCATATATTTCGATGAAAGAAATATTTAAACAAACCCTAGATATCCATTTAACACAAATTTTAACTCGTCATATTCTTAACGTACAGGTACACTTAACATAGTCACAGCACATTTAATCACAAAATTGGACGAATTTTAAATTTTGAGCATTTTCACGAGGGCCTAATAGACATTTAAAGCCGCACTATGTGATGTGCTTCGAAAATCTATTCATTTTAAACTGTAGAATTTTGATGAAATTGTGAAAATGCTCTAAAATCTTATACAACTACTATCTACTATATTGAATATACTGTTCGATATGTGCTTAATTTCAACAGAGTGAAAAACTGAAATTTCAAATTATATTAATCGTATCCGTCTCTTCCTATTAACTTAAAAATAACTCCACTAAATTTACAGCTTTATAGTACATTTGGAATATTCAGTCATATTAAATTATTAAAATATACTAAGTAACTAATTTAGTTACTTTTATGGTATAGACAACTTGATTTAGTAACTTGTGCAAGTACCTAATTTAGTAAACGACTAAATCAAGTTGTCCACACCATCCAAGTAACCAAATTTAGTTACTTGATTTAGTAACTTTTGCTTTAGCTACTCGATAGTGTATCCGCGCCTTTAAACAAAGTCATTAAAGTTTTTCATTATTAAAAATACATGCAAGTGCGTTAATTCAGCAACGTGCAGAATTAACGCTTGCTCTGTTAGTAAATATTTCTCTATTAATCACATAATAACAGTTTTTATAAATATTAATCTAGGTTATTAGAGCCCATGAAACAAGTACTCGAAACATTTATACACACACATTGAGCTTACCCTGCAACAGTTTGAGTAACGAATAATTACATATTAGCATTGTCAAGGTTTCAGTTAAACAAGAGAATAGCATTACCAACACGCTAACAGTCGGCTAGTCGATCACATCAATAAATATTCTTGAGACTCTCAATAAAAAAACCAACAATCGTAAGAAATAAACGAAGTTAAAGACTGATATAATCAACGACGTAACTGGGAAAATACTCTCCATCGAAATACTTAACAAAGGTTTCGCCGTTGTGACACTGGACGGTATCAAATCCGTAGTCTGGCAAGAACACGTTGCCTTCGACTTGCTGTACGTTCTGCGTGAGCACTTCGGCGATAAACATGGACCGGAATGTTCCGTTGGTTTTCGATGAATGTTTGTTGGCAAGCTGCGGGCTCGTGGAGAAATATACCCCCGGCCCGAACATGAATCTCTCCCCGTAACGCCAATCGAAATTGTACTTGGCGATGCTGATGACGTTCTCCCTAGCCGTGTCGTGGTAAAGGGATAGTATGTTGTAGGGGCCCTTTTGTTCGAAGTCGTACATTTTTAAGCGAAATTTGGAAAACAACGTAGGGTTCTGTACCCTGTAAATACCCTGAATGCAATTGTAATATATGCCGACGTTCATTAGGTCGAATACTCGATGATATTCCGAGCTGTAGTGCGGTAAATTCGTTAATTTGTATTGTTGGAAATTTAGGTTCATTGGGTCCCAATGTTTGGGTAGTATGTAGCTCACTTCTTGAATTAACATGTCCTAAAAATCATGAAAGTATTTATCGTCATGACAACATTGAATAAAATATTAACTAATACGTTTATTTGTAAACCTTTGAAGTTATTTCGCGTATTGGTTTATCCTTTGTTTTTGACTTGTTGCTTCAACGTGAAAATTAAATCATAAATTCAATTCACCATTAGAATCTAACCGGTATGACAATTGACAATTGAATATGGCTGCCAGATCTAAAACACACCAGTATAATTTTTGCAATAAAACGCACTATTTTATCATAATGCAAGATAATGATTACTTACCACCAAAATAACTCGCTTTACCAACCAGTTTCGCATTTTACTACAATAAAATACATACGATTGATAATTTTAAATATTAACAGTGGCAACGTTGCGTTTGATAATTTTTTGAATGTAAAGTGACAATTGAATTTGATCTTTGTCACACACTCGTTATGAAAGAGACAGAAATAACTAGTTGACATTATGTTGGCAACAGTGATTGTCAAAGTACTCGAAATTGAAATAACGGAAAAAGTAAACAAAAACTTTTTGCAATAATTATTTTCTTTTTATAACTGAAAACTATCAAGTATCGTCAATTATTTCTAAGTGTACTTACTACTAATTTAATTGTTTACTCCACCAAGCCATTGGTAAGTTGATTCATATTTTTTTAATAAAAAATAGTAAATTTCAATTTTTAGATCATGCCGCTAGTAATAGGAGAAGATTTCCACGAGATCCTCTACAACCAAATACGCTTGTTAACCCAGTTCTACCCGCCGACTCCAGCATTCAATCTCGTTTTCAAGAAAGATTTCTCGAAAAGCAACAAGGCCAACGAGATATACGAAGTGGTATATTACCTATTGAACATCCTCGATCCGGTAATGACCAAGAAAAAGCTACCCTCATGGCCTTTAATATCTCGCGACGACGAAATAAACTTCAAGAAAGAACTGCTCGAGTACATAAACTCTTTGAACGACTTGTACGAGTACGCGAACATTCCCAATATCATGCTAACCCACGTGATTCTCCCGACGAAGTCGAGCAGGTTTATGGAGTGTATGTTGCTTTTGACCCGATTGGTGTTGAGCGAGGTTTTGAGAAATAAATTCAGAAGAACTGTATGCTTGCCGTTGGCAGATGAGAGTGAAAGCTTCAGGAAGCATTACCTCTCGATCGAAGCGGATAATGCGAGGAAACTCAGGGATTTTCAAGAGCTTTTGAAGGATAAAGAAGAGGAGCACAAAGCGAACGAAAAAACTGTACGGAAAGTAGATGAAGAGATGCGGGAAAGTGTTTCTAGATTAAATTCTGCAAACATGCTGTTTGTAGAAAAATATCCTATTTATGCTAATTTAGGTGATAAATTCGAAGCATTGCACGAGATGATGCGAAAAATCCAACAAATAAACGAGCTATCTAAATCCTGCAAAGCCTTACAATCTTACTTAGATGATACTAATTTGGTGCTAGAAGTTAATAATGAAACATCATCTAACCAAGTTTCAAGTTTATTAGAATTCATTAAAGCCCTAACGCATTTATTACAGTCCAAATTATCATTTAAACTGCCTACACCAAGCTGCTCGGAAATAAGCTCGAATTCAAACACCCTGTACGAAATTGAGAAAGATTTTGTTATCCTTCGGAACGCTCTAACCATCAGAAAAGAACAAACCCAGTTGATGATAAAACAAATTGATGAAATGTGATTATTAAAATACCGTCTAAATGTAAATTTTTATATTATAAATGTAAATAAACATAATTTGTAGATAACAAACAATTCATCAATTCCTCATGGTTTTATCGGCTTTGCCCAAAACCTCGAAGAATCCCAGCCTCCTGAGACGGAGCTTGCTCCACACGATGTAATTGTGCATGGCGATACTTTGAGCAGCAGCCAATGCAGCGCTTTCGGGGTATATGACAGTAGTGCAACCCAATCCAGAAGGCACGTTAACGCTCGACCAAATGTCCCTGGACAAATCGTCCCTCGAACCGGGCGGACAGTTAATAACCGGATAATCCGTGTTGCCGGAGATCACCGGACCCAACCCGTTCGATCTACCGGCCACGGCGATGAACACCAAAGGCACGCCGAGCCCTTCGTAATGGCTGACGATATCCAGCGTGGATTCGGTGGTTTTGTGCGCGGATGTGACCCTGATCTCGGTGATCAAGCCGAGTTCGGCGCAGTACTTTTGGATTTTCGCCGCGTGATCCTTGTCGCCCATGCTGGCGATCACGATGACCACGAGGTGGTTGTTCGGTGGGATGAGATGGTCCAATTGGTCGACCACCCACTCGAAATTCCTCTTCACCGCGTCCAAATCTTTGTCGGTGACTTGGGACAGGTTCCTGTAGACTTGCTTGTCGACCATGAGGCGCTTGTCGCCGGAGGGCCACAGACGCCACGAGTCCGAATCGATCACGTCGGCCACCATGAGCTCGCCTATAATTAGAGAATTTAGAGGGTGTTGTACAAATCCCTTAAGGTCCTGTATTTGATGCCACTGTTAATCATTTCGCAACGTGTGATAAGAATGCAGAAAAACAATCATTGTGACATCGAATCTAATGACCTTTTGAACTGTTGCAAGAACAACAAACCGAAATATAAATAACCTTACGAGAATATTTCGATGTTTGTTTGCGATAATTATTATTAATAGAGTATTGCGAAATTATCGATACGAACCTGTACTATCGACTCCAAATTCGATTTTCATGTCTATCAGAGCGCAATTTCTCGTTTGCCATACTTTCTCTAATACTTCGAATACCAATATAGACGTTTTCGTCATCCATTCTACCTCGTATTTCCCTAAAATCAAGAAAAAAAACAATCTTATTGACCAATTAATCGTTACTTGTATCCATGACCAGTTCACAAACGGGTCAACAGTTGCGCAGCATATCAAATCAATCCATTGCGCAATCTACTGATTAGTTTGTGTACAGCCCGAAGCTCGCTGGGGGTCAAAACAGACCTAATCGTTACGAAACCGGCAACAACATATGACGTAAAAACGATCAGTTTATCCAAAAAATAAAAATCGACACACCTATTACCACACCGTTGACTTTGAACTCGGCTGAGATAATCTGCTCCTCGGACCACTGGGGGTCGTGGTTGGCGTCGTCTTTGAAGAAGGTCTCGTGCTTGGGCGGGCTGAAGCGGTAGCCCTCTTTGACGCCCGGATTGCGGCGCAGGAACGAGCCGGTGGCCAAGCGACGGGTCACCCATTCAATGGGGATCATCTCGCATTTTTTCGACAAAAACGCGTTGTCGGCCACCGATTTCACGAACGCCGTTTTTAAACCTGCAACGTATAAGTCCAATTTAGTAAAAAAACTTACTAATTCTTGCTAATTGTTAGCAGCTTTCTGTACAACTGCTCCATCAGATTGTTCCCGATTAAGGCTACTCAGTACTTACCGACGCTGTTTAAAATTTCGAATACTTTTCCATTAGTTTTGTTCGATATAACGGATTTTCCGACGAGATCGTGCGCCTTGGCCCCGTCTCCTGCGGTTATTCTGTCCTTGCTCAGTAGAATGCAATGGCCGTTGACTGAGGGGACGTCGAAGACTTGCTTGGTTTTTCCTTCTATTATTAGGTTGCCTAATTTGTAGCCTCCAACTGAAATTAAGTTGTAAGGCTTTAATTTTAATTCCACGGTGGGAATAATTAGTGCAGTTTATTCCTGCACGATATTTCGAGACGACTTTAACGGAACCGTAACTTTAGCCACGGCGAAAACAAAAAATGTGGTGAAACTGAGGTTACAAGAAGTTAAAAGAAAAGAAAGAATATTGTTAAAACGAAAATTCAATTCTTATAACAATTAGTTAAAACTTAATTATTAAAATATGCTTATTTCAAACTACATAAAAAATATTTTATTTAACTAGCATAGCATTAACTAACATAGAATTTTAACTGTATATTATAGTAGATTAATAAATATAGTTACCTTCTTTAACATTTGCCATTTTGTTTAAGTATTTCAAAAATGATCAAACTTTTTCCAATAACTTCACACAACTCTTTAATTATTTATAATAAGTCGCTGACCGGCTCAACTCTTTTTATTAACGAAGTTATCAACAATACACAGTGTTGCCGGATAAATATTTTTCGAAGGATAAACAACGAAACGGTGGAAGTACCACTTTCGAAGGAGATCTGGCAACATTGATAAAAAATCGAAGATATGAAAAATCAACAAGTGATAAAAGCTCATAGGCCAGGGGCGTACTGCATGAAATCAATCCACGATTTTTTGTGTCTTACCTTTTAGTTTCCTTATTATTACATTGAGGAATACTACAACATCGTAATATCTTAAAATTTTTAACAAAAATAAAATCAAACGAATTACAAGAACAAAACAGAAACGACAAAGACAAATAACTAATGTCATTTGTCATGTTAGTACAAAATGGTAAATTTAGACATCGCTCAAAATCGAAAACTCGCTTAGAAAAAAACTAAAATATTGAAAGAATAATATCATGGTTGCTTAAATTAATTTTCATACTATGATGATCCAGGAATTCAAATTCCTAATTTGTCGACGGAACATTCAGTAACACAAATTTCTGGGAAAAGCCTATCATTTAGGGATTCGTATCGACCAATTCGGAAAATTTCTCTAATCCAAAACCGTTAATAATTCGGAGAATAAAAGTTTACAATAAATTAAATGGTAGGAGGATTGCAACTATCTCACTCTAACCAAGGTTATTTTAATAATCTTTCCTTGTTCAACTCATACAGTTGACCATAATCCAAACAAATTTGAACTGACATACCCGTTTCCAGGAATTCCATATCCATGTTGGTATCTTCTCTTGGTGGTTCTGATTTTATAGAAATATCTCCACTATCTGTTAAGAAATTAACGTTAATAAAAAAAATATTTGAGTATCATCTACTATAAAATTGACTATACATACCTGGCAAAAAAAGCCTTGGCACAACACCTCTGTTCAATTTCAGCCGCTCCGGTGTCTGGAAATCCTTAAGGATAAAGTGCCGATCGCATACGCTATAGCTACTCCTAACTTTATTCGGATTTCGAAGTTTTAAATCGACATTTTTAATGGCATCCAACCATGCATAATACCTTTGTGGTGTCCTCGGAAAACAGAAAAATTTAACTTCCTTGTGCAAATTGTAGCTAATTCCGCAATTAGGAACGGCGCATTTCTTATAATGATGAGACATTATAAACATTATGCTACAAGTGTGCGTCCCTAACAATCCTTAAAAATGAAATACTGCATGTTGCGCGGTTCGGTTGCGTGGTTTTTCAAAAAACGACTTTCGCGCCACCTCTGAACGGTTGGTGGCAGTAGCAAATTAATTTTCGCAGTAGTCCCGCGAAGTTAAAGGCCACTTCGAACGACAAGTGACAGCGGAAAGAGAAGTTGACACTTGACTTATGTCACTTACGGATGCTTCGTTTCTCAAACGTTTGTGTTTGTTAGTTGATTCATTTTTTGAAATAAGTGATCGTTATTTAATTTCATTTGTTTTCTATCCGAATAAACATGTCGAGTACATCCCAGAAACATCGTAATTTCATAGCCGAGCCTATGGGAGACAAGCCCGTTACAGATTTGGCCGGTGTAGGTGGAGTGCTGGGAGAGCGTTTGGTTACAGCCGGTTTCGACAAGGTATTTATGTTAAAATTACATTATTTTCATTTGTTGAGGCATTAATATTATGCTATGAATGTGCTTTAAGTATTTTATTGCAACTTCTAGCTGTATTCTTATTTTTTTTTTTGTTCAAAGCAGTTAGTGTCAATTACCAGTTTTTTCTAGGATGGGTTAGGATGTGGTTATAGTTTGTAGATTAAATTTAATTGTATTATAATTGGCAAAGCAAAAGAATAGTAAACTCGCTTAAAAAGCTGTTTCCTTTTGCTTTTATTATACAATTAACGTATTTGACAACAATTCTCGATAACTTAGGTTTTTTAATATTTCTGTTACTTGCAGGCTTATGTGGTACTTGGCCAGTTTTTGGTCCTGAAAAAGAACCAGGAGTTGTTTAAAGAATGGATGAAGGATACATGCATGGCTAATTCAAAGCAAGCTTCAGACTGCTGGCAGTGCCTCAACGATTGGTGCGAAGAGTTCTTGTAATTTATTTGTTTTTTTATGGATTTTTACGGAGTTTTTAACGTTTTTTATCTAATTTAACTTATGTAAATATATAAATTTTGCTAATTTTGATTGATGTATATAAGGCGAATTAAATTAATTGAATTAAAGAGAATATTTTTTGCCTAAAGGTTGTCTTGAATTTGATACCTATGAGCCTGTACACTTTGAATTTATCGCTTGTTTGTGAATTCTTCACCAAAATGTCCTATATGGGGAAAAATGTTCTATTTTGCCCTAATTAAAAAAAAATTAATGGGCGTTGTCTTCTTCTTCTCTGTTACATGGCCTCTAATGGGCGTTGTCACAATTGGAAAATGGTAACTAGAAAATTGAAAAAGAAGAATTTAACCTCTAAACAGTAATTTCAAAACAAAATGCATTTTAAAGTTTTTTCAAAAACATACCTCATAAAAGTACCGCAACAAATTCGCAAGAATCACCATTGGTTGGCACCGACAGGATGGGATACTGGAATAAAAGTGCACAATTGCATAACCAAACAAAAAGAGCCCCTGATATTAAAAAACAAGCAATTCATGACCTGGTATACATGTGGGCCTACGGTTTACGATTCATCCCACTTAGGACATGCCAGTTGTTACGTTAAATTAGATATAATCCAGAGGATTCTGAAAGAATATTTTAATATCAATTTAGTAACTGCCTTAAACATAACAGATATCGACGATAAGATAATACGGAGAGCCGAAGAACTTAAAGTAAGTCATCGAGAATTGACGAAGAAGTACGAAAGCGAGTTCTGGACAGATTGCCAAAGCTTAGGAATTAGTAAACCTACTGTCGTTGTAAAGGTAACAGAGCATATTCCTCTAGTAATTAAATTCATCGAGAAGCTTCTCGATAACAATCAATGCTACATAGCCAGCGACAAATCTGTTTATTTCGACGTGAAAACGACGAAAAATTACGGAAAACTGCAAAATATAGGTGAACAAGAAGAAAAGAAGGAACCGGGTCACGTCAAAAAGTCCCTCCTGGATTTTGCCTTGTGGAAGAGCACCAAAGCAGAAGGGGAACCTTTTTGGGAAAGCCCCTGGGGAAACGGTAGACCCGGATGGCATATCGAATGCTCAGCCTTAGCTTCTCGAATATTTGGTAATAATTAATAATGTTTTAATAAATATAGAACACTATCATACATCATATTATAGGTTCCAATATTGACATCCATGCAGGTGGGATCGACTTGAGGTTTCCTCACCACGAAAACGAAGAAGCCCAATCTTGCGCGTTCCACGGAACCTCCCAATGGGTCAACTATTGGCTACACACGGGTCATTTACACCTTAACCAATCCACGAAAATGTCCAAATCGTTGAAAAACACCGTATCAATTCAAGACATGTTGAAGACGCACGATCCGCACGATTTCCGAATGGCTTGTGTACTGTCCCGTTACCAAAACAACATGGAATACAGCGACGAATTGATGTCGACTGCAAAAAACACGCTGAAAACGTTCAAAAACTGCGTGGCTACCTGCGATGAATTCAAAAACGGCTACATTAGTTCCACTGTGGACGCCAACGTTTTAAACGAACACCTCGACAAAAGCGCCAGGAATATCCACGATGCTTTATGTGACGATTTTGATACCCCGTCTGTGATAAAAATATTAAACGAGCTAGTATCGGTCACTAACAGTATGTTGTACACGACCGCTTCGGCTGGAAATACTAACGGCTTGGGGTCGGTTTTAGCTGTAAGGAACTTTATTGATAATATCCTGGGAATTTTTGGTTTGAATGTCCTCCCCGAAGCTGATGCTTCCAAAGACTTTAGCGAAATCGTAGATGTATTGAACGAGTTTAGACAGGCTGTTAGATGTTTAGGAATCGATGATAAGAACAAAAATATTTTGCAACTGTGTGATAATGTTAGAGATAAAGCTAAAACGTGCGGTGTATTGTTTAAAGATCGCGGCAAATTGTCGACGTGGAGTATGTAAATGAGAAAGAGATCTGATGATTAACAACAATATTAGTTTTATTAGTATCTTGTTATAGATTTTTTATCTGGCGTTATCACATTAAACATATTAAAAAAACATCTAATTTCGATACAGTAGGCATCTAATTTTCTTCTTTTTTCGGTACGAGCAACATTGAATCCAAAAATAATTTCGTGAAATCCGCCACGATGGATCTGTCGGGTAAAGCTTGGGCAACTCCATAAATCGCCATCTAAAAAATAGATTTTATATTTATCAGAAATCTACTTCAATTCAATCGACTCACCTTTCCTTCGACTGGTTCCGAAGGGTTCTTCAGCAGCTCCTCCAACGAAGTTCTAACGTCTTCCAAAAATTGATCTGCTACTCCAGGTTTTGTGTGCTGCCTTGTTACGCAAATATGGATGCTAGAAAAACATTGATAACTAACTTCCAACTCATTAATAATTAAAAATAATTACCCAGAAGGAAATTGCAGAACGCTCAAATTCCAACCTTTTTCTTTCAAAGCCGAGGACAGCCGGTATATTTCAAAATCATTCGAACCTATACCTATGACACTTGTAACCGGTTGTCCGAAAATGAATATACCTCTCATCCTTCTCAACCTACGAATAAAATTAATAGTGTTTAAATTTACCACGAATATCTACTCTCAATAATATTTAACCTACCCCTTTTCTATGTATTTCGTCGTATGAATCACATCCCTAGTGGCCTGAATGTAATTGTCTTTTCCGAAATTCAACATGGCAGCCCAGCATACTGCGATGCTACCTCCGGGCCTCGAACCATTGACGCTAGGAGAACCGTATACACCACCAGGCCAATCTGTGGTAACGGTATATTGGTGATGCCTGTACTTTTTGTTCCTGTACAACACAATAGAAGACCCTGCAAGCAAGCAAAACTCAATTAGATGCTTCAATTTTCTTCAGTATTACGAGGGTAATTCGAATAGTAATAAAGAGAATGTACCTTTTGGTGCATAACCGTATTTGTGCGTATCAGCCGATATACTACAAACTCCAGGCAATCTGAAATCGCACAGGGGAATCGGATAACCCGCATCTTCCATGAAGCAACTCAAGAAACCCCCTAAGCAAGAATCAACGTGCACCGGAATGTTGTATTTAACACCTAATTCAGAAATAGCTGGAATATCGTCCATTGTACCATAAGGGAAATTGGGAGCAGATCCAACTAACTGCGAAATGCATCAGATTATTTTGAATCAAAAATTTATCTAATTAGATTCTTACCAGCACTGTGTTAGAATTGATGGCTCGTTTAAACTGCTTCATGTCTACTTGGTAGGTTCTGTTATCAACCGGAATGGATCTGACTCTGATTTTGAAGTATTGACCGGCTTTATCGAATGCAGCATGGACTGTTGTCGGTACAACCATTTCTGGCTTGGTTATTCCTTTCACTTCTCTACCGTAGTCTCTGAACGCCTTGCAGGCCATCAAGATTGATTCGGTACCACCGCTCGTCATCTGCAATAACATTTTTATGGTTTTTTATTATTAGATTTAGTGGCCTTTTACTTACAGAGCCAACGGCATTTTCATCGCCGTGAAATAGACTCGCAGCCATCCTTACGACTTCGGCTTCCATCTTGCATACTCCGGGAAACAGATCCGGGTGTAACGGGTTGGTGTATGAGGTTTTTCCGTAGACATCGGTTATTAATTCTATTAAATCCTTATTGTAGAAATAAACAGCGCCGGATACTCTGCCTCCTTTCCAGTCGTAGTTTCCTATAATTAGGAATTACTAGAATATTTGAATCTAGGTAAAATTACTTGTAGACTTACCAAGAGACAGATTATCATTGAGGGTGTCGAGAATGGCTTCTTTGGAAAGGCCGCTTTTGGGCAATTCCCTAATGAAAGTAAGACCTTTAGTAGACTCCTTAATATCGTCTTCGAAGCCTTTGGCGATCGAATCTAATTCGTCCTCTAACTTCTTACGCACTTGAGGTATCTTCTTTAATAATCTAAAGGCGGTTTTCTTGGTCCTTTCAACTAAGCCTGAAATATTATAAATTAAAATATAATTATGTAAAGAATGTTATACACTTGCTTTCATCTTGAAACAGAAATCCGTAGAACCACACAGAGAAAAGGACTGTAGAAGTTGTTACTGTAACGATTTGCCATGGCTCTTTCCCTTGAAATTGGCTATTTAATGCGTCCTTAACGAAAATTAAAGGACTCGTCGCAACGTTACTCAATCCCATGTTTTATGGAGTCGTTGAAATGTACCATTTGTTAAAAAAATGTCTTGGTTCAACCTCAAGTGATTTCCAAAGTCCAGTTTTTATATTCCTTTTTACCAATTTGATTCAAAATTTTTATGAATACGGGCGATAAGATAAAGTTTTAAGTACTCCTGTAAATATACAATTTGTAATAAACCTTGATAAACGTATGAAATAATTGAAATATTAATTTATAACCAAATTTTTTGACGTTTAACCTGGCCTCTACTTTTGCGGTATTTGGACCTCAAAATAAATAATTGTAATAAATGTTGCCTATATAACAGTAGCTATTACATTCCTGATTCACATTCACAAATAAATTAATACTTTTTTTGTAACAAAATCCCAAATATATTTCAATACAATCCTAATTTATTTCATTTCTACATCATCAACCAAATATTTCAGCTTAATAATTAAAGTAGTAGGAGACGTTACGTCGGCAACTAAAACGTCCTGGCCGTCTTTCAAACCTAATTCCACTAAACTTTTACTCAAATTCTCCCTAGTCCTCTCCTCTATACTTTTTATCGTAGACATGTACAAAGTTTTGTTCTTCCCGTCGATAATGGTGGTCAAACCGGGACTCTTCATCTGGTACGAAGTGCTTTCCGATAGCAATTCGACTAATTGTTTGAGTTTCATCGTATTGGGATCCTTAATTTCCATCACTTGTGGCGTCTGCGAGCATACCAAACAATCCGACTTTCTCTCAGCTTCGTATGTGTACGTGTAAATCCCATCCACATCGTTAAAAACCATGTAGTTGTTAAGAGGAACGCAGCAACTGGTTGCTAATTTAAATACCTACATACAAATACAATTATTAAATTCTATTGGTTCTCAAGAGTAGTACAAACGTACCTCTGTAGCGCATATACCAGCAATAACAGCATTAGTGGAGGCCACTGCGGGAATAATATGCTTCACAACACCTTGCACAAGCCTGTAAGTTACGCCCGGTATGTTAAACTGGTGGGACCTTTCCATAGATTTCTCGTAGATCCAGGAAATGTGTTGGGGGTCGTCTCCATCCAGGCTCGCATTGAATGGATTCTCTTTCGGCCACATTATGAGTTTAACGTATTCTATACAATGTTCGGGTAGCCTAGGTGTATTGGCAATGGTGCAAAGTGGATAATTCACTTGCGGAGGGTAGAGGTCTAAGGTACATTCGACGCAGGCGCTCATTCCGGGCAGGACTACACGGGCGTTACCTTTGAATCCTTCTGTACCTAAAATATTATTGTTTTATGAATTTACTCGACGAGATGAGAAGTTATGGCTTACCTCCATCTACCATAGGAATTAGGGATTGCTGGTCTAAAACGTCATCTTCGTAATTAAGCAACGAAACTAGCATTCCGTTAATCCACCTTCTAGCCACGATCGAGTCCAACCCGCACACAACTATATGAAATTGTCTGTAAAAACTTTCATCGAAATCCTGTATTTTAGAGAAATGCGGCGTAACTTGGCAACCGGGCACTTTTTTATTGATGAAATTGGCCGCCGTTTCGGCCTTCGACGATCCGATATCTGAATGTCTAAATAAAAATTGCCTATTAAGATTCGACAAGTCGATCGTGTCCATATCTATTACGTGGATGTTTTTGAATCCCATTAGGGCGAGATCTTTGAGTAATTCGCAGCCCAGACCGCCGGCTCCTATTACTAAAATTTTGCAGGACGTCATTATGAAATCCAGTATTTCGGAAGACGGCTCGAATTCGGGGTGACTGAAGGGGCCCGGCCGTTCTAGCACTTTCTTTAGGTGGCCCCATCGCTTTTGATTCGATTCCAGCGTCTCGGACATGCTATAAATCGGTATAGCCGGCCTTTATTTTCAACAATTTCAACCCTTAAATAAACAAATAACCTTCTTTTTTGATAACTGTCAATTTGTTTGACATATGACATATTCAACATATCTTCTTTCCCCAACCAGATTCGGTTTATTTGAACTACCAATACGACAAATTAATTTTAAAATCTATTAAAGAAGATGAAATATTAGTGAATAACAGCTTTCCTAGAAGAGTACAAAATTCTTTGGGTTACTCAAATAAAAGCGACAAGAAAAACAGATATTATCCGACTATATTAATATTTTTAATTCATAAAAATAAATAATTTACACATCAGTTTTTCGATGAAGTACAGTGCGCTTTGCCTAAAACCAAATACATACAAGTTTACAGTTAGTTAAATAATAACCATTAGCGCAACTTGTACATTTAAATACCTAAGCAAATAAGAAGGTTGATCGAAAAATTCCCAATAAGTGCTTCGAAAGTACCTCTAATAAAGCCATTTATATACATCACACCGCTTAGACAATTACAACAAATAATTTCATATGAGATAAAAAAAAACAATCCCGAAAATTAACAAAGTACCTACTCGAAATTACATATTAACCAATGAAATTTATACCATAAAAACCTAAATTTTCATATAATAAAACGCAATTGAGCAAAATAAAGCTATAAGAATCGTTATTAATATAATTACATTTAATATTCGACTCTAAGTGCGATTATAATATTAAAGGATTTCTATTTATCACATACAATTTATGCCATGGGCAATATAAGAAAACAAAATCGAACGACTATAATAAAATGTAAATTTTCACATTTAGTCCAAACGTAATTTATGTTTATCGCATCTCAACCGGCAGCCTGGGCCTTTTTTCTATGATCGTAGTTCACCAATCTCTGTCCCACTAAATATTTATCGTTCTTGATGTGCTCGTACAATTTCTTAAACTGTCTAATTTGTAGATTAATGATGGCCGCCACGACGAGCACCAGCAGCAGGAACGGATACAATCGCCTCGCTATGAAATTCTTCAACTGCAGGTTAGTCACAAACAGCGGCACGAACGAATAAGCTATAACGTACGGTATGGCCAGAGCCAGCCCGAAGCTAATTATAACGGGCGCCGCCAGCTCCTTGAATATGTAAGTCAAATTCATGTCTCGAATACCGTCCCTGTAAGCCCTTTCGATGGCAGCCCGAAGGAACCAATCCGGCCCCATCATCGTTATAGCGCAAGCTATCTTCGTATAAAGCACCCCCAACGCCCAATCCTGCCATATGAACAATATGGGCGTTTGGTGAATCGGCACCCTCAAAGGAATTATAACGACGAGCTCCAACAACAAACCGAACAACAACGGTATGATTCCCAATAGAATCGTACTGGCCACGATCGTTTTCAGTCCCAATATGCACCATTGCTTGAGGCGATCGAGCATGGCGGCCCTGCCTTGCGGCAACCAACCCAACACCAAGCTAATAGCCCTCGCCGCCAGCCAGCACAGGTACAGGCCGCACGCCGCCGTGTACAACTCGTGCACCTTCACCTCCGTTTGGGCATCGGTGGTGGCGGATATTTGAGGCGCCGGGGGCGGCGCGCCGACCAGCCACAGCGACATGACGCTCCTGCCGAGCCAAACGGGCACCGTAAGGGCGATCAAACTCGAGAGAACCAGCGACATGCAAATGGAGACTAGCAGACCTACCAGTCTAGCCAAGAAGAACGATGGTCTTACGTACGGCTGGAAACCTGGAAGAAATTATTGCTTGTATCCCTCTAAAAATATATGTTCTTAATTGAATACCTGTTGGAGGTTCCATCATGAACAAAGCTTGATGTACAGCTCCGAGTCCGGCACCAACCTCCGGTTGATTTTGTTGTTGGTTACCATTCTGCTCGGCTTCATCGCTATCCTTTTTATCGTTATCTCCCAGTAAATACGAGTGAATGTTAAGTATCCAAGCGACTACTCTGCACCAATTTCTAACCAATCCTGCACGAAAATAATCATCAATATCGAACTAAATTTCTTGCGCAACAGATCCCTTACCTTTCAACCAAATCCTCGTGTGCGATTGCTCCAGCAAAGCCGGCAGAATGACTTGCAACAGAAGCAACTCCAACGACAATTCGTTTACCTGCGAATCGTTGTTGTTCAGCGAGACGGTGTACGGCAGAAATTTCGGTAACAAAATCTTCAATATCCTGATGGGAAGCCACAGCATCAGCAGCACGGCGCTACCGAATATAACGGCGGATATCAGCAACTTTCTTATGTGTTCTAATATCGGCAAATGGATCATTTCTTGTATGGGACTAAAATCGGGATCGTTGAAGTTCCGCAAAAACCACAGGACTCCCGGTCGCAGGATTTCCCTCAATAATAGGATGAACGAAGCGAAATAATACACGTACACCATTCCTATTAGCCAATGTATAAAAATGGATGTACCCGGTGCAGTTCTGAAAGTGCTTTCTCTGTCCTTCAACGAGGCATCGAACATCGCCAACGAGCAGATATCCAACCACCAGCCGCAAACCAGTGGAATTATACCGATTTCCACGACGCTCAACATTGATACTTTAACCACCACGTAGCAAAGACCTAATATTCTTTTGGCTTTGTTAAAACCCAACCAAGCCGCTACTCTGTGCAGTATAACGAACCAAATTCCCACAGCGCAATAGCCTACAAGAGTGGTAAGGAGACCTTCGAAGTGACTCGCGGCCGCGGCATCTCTCATGTTAAATACAGATAGGGTAAACAGCCCCATGTGGTAAGGGGCGTAGGCGAATATCAATATGAACAGAGTGTTTAAGGATATCACCCAGAATACGTGTTCGAGGAACATCAAAGAACCGTCTAGACCTAACAGACGTTCCCATGTTATTTCTTCGGCGGCTCTGTCCCATTCCATCGGTATCCAATTGTTGTCTTCGCCAACGTTAACGTCGCCATCTTCCTGTTGATCTTGATTCGCTTGAGCCGCAGGAACTGCGCCTGCACCTTGTTGGCCGTTTTCTTCGACCTCGCCGGGCATTTCTTCCGGGATGTTTTCTAATACTTGAGCCGGCTCCTCTTGAACGACGTTATCTCTCTGCAACCAATCCGGACCTCCACCGTGTAAAATCTGCTCCCTTAGCCAAACTAATCCGGCAAAAGCGAATAGAGTGCAGGTAACAACGAAGAAGCCTTGGAATATGTCCGACGCCAGGTTTTCCATCGAAAGCATTTCGAAAGGTAGCGTTAACACAGCATCGACTGTGTCTGCGAACAATGCCCTGAAAGAGAATATATTAGACACAACTACTCGATATATATCACAGAAATTGTACCTGTAAATTCTACAAGCCGTTAACGGTACTATTCCCAACCACGCAGCTCCGACGAGAGTGTAATGAAACCAATAGGTTACGGCTGTAGCAACCGAAGATAGTAAACCGGCGGCTAAATCCTTAACGGGCAGCCTGCGAGGCATGTCCGGGGAATATATTGGAGTAAACGAGAACCTGTAGCCGCAAAGTTCGCAATATTCCTTCCTGGAATATCTCATCCATTGCATCAAGCACTCTTGGTGTATCCATTTAATACTTCCAGTACAAATGCAAGGGTGGAAGAGAGGTCGATCGGACGAAGCCTCCGACCTACAAACCCTGCATATATCTGCATTTGGAACGTCATCCATGCTGGATCTAAAATGGAAATACGAAGAGATGATAGCGGTAAATTCGGTATTTTACTCAGTTTAGATTCAAATGTACACTTACCTAAAGTTGGGACTGTTGTGTTCTAAAAACGTCCTCCCAACCTAGTTAATTGATCAATACTGCGGTCATTTCTTTAATTCATTATAGCACGGAATAGTCAACGCAGATTTTTAATACGTCTTAAATAAATAAAAAAATCTAGAACAAATTGTACAAAATAAAAACTGCTGTTTTGGTTTTGACACTTAATTCAGAAGACAGATTGTAGAAAATTATTTATGACAGTTCTTAATTTTACGTCAGTCTTTTTCTTGCCTTCACCTTTAGGAACATACAGTCACTAAATTTAAAAGAGAAGAAAATTATAACCTAACTCTTAAAAAACGTCAACAAATTCGCGCAATTTTGTCCAAGAATTTTATAATGTTGTTATTGGAAAAAGTATAATTATAATGAAAGATTTAAAGGATTATTTTTCTAGGTCTATAGAAGTACCCGAAAACGAGGTTCCCAAAGATGCAGCACCGGAAAATACGCCTCACAGTGATATACAAAACGTAGAAAATACAGAAAGTGGTCAAAAGCGTAAGCGAAGAAAAAAGAAAAGAAAAGTCTCCGATCCTGCTGTTAAAAACGTTACGGAATTATTATCGACTAGTTTAAATTTGTTTTCTCCCGTTAAAGTACCAGCAGAAGACGAAGTTGTTGATGAAGTTTCGGAGAGTCCTGCGAAAGAAAACGAACCAACAATCAAGACAGCGACGAAGAAAAATGCATTTCAGTTTATGATGGAAAGCAGGAATCGAAGTATCGGTACCAATTCGCCCGGAAGGCAATTGGAAGAAGAACCTGGTTCAAATTGCAAAGATAGGGACAAGCTAAAGGCTAGAAGACAAGTTTTTTCGAACTGGGCTGACCAGAAGGGTGCCGCAAAAAGAAAGAGGTTTGAAGAGGAAAAAGACGTGATTATCGAGAAGAAATTGAATAAACGAGCTAAGAGATTAAAAAAATTGTTAAAAGTAGATAACGAGGAGGTTTCCTCCAAACGTGTTAGAAGAACTAAAATTGTAAAACGCCATTCAAGTAGTGAAGATAGTGATTTTGAATGTAAATTAAATGATTCCCGCAGGGTAGATAAAACTAGGAAAAATAACACTAGCATTTCGAAAGATGCTAACGAAAAACCAGCCAGAAATAGTAGAAATAATGTTAAGGGAAAGAAATCACTAAGCAATAATGAAAATCGAATGAATTTAAGTAATGGAAACATAAAGTCATTTTTAAGCTCTGAAAAAGCTGATGAAACGATACTGACCAAAAATACAGACACCAAACAGAAAGAGGCCAATAATGAAATTGTAAAAGAAAAAATTTCTGTTAAGAGCAAGTCAAAAAAGGTAAAGGAAACGAATTTAACAGAAATATCCAATCAAGACGATAATTTAGTTTCGAAAATCTCAAGATCTTGGAAATTGAAAATCAAAATTAATTTAAACGAAAACGTCGATATACTATCATCATCATCCACAGCAAACCACGAAGAATCTGATTCCACCAGTGAATTGCTAGATGGTATGTATTTTGCTTATTTCCAACTACTTTTTACTGAAATATATTTCTTAATAGACTCTGAGGAGAAGCCTGAAGCTGTTGTTGAATTGTCTTCAGATGAAGAATTTGAAAACACTCCTAAAAAGTCCCTCAAAGTTGCACCGATATTCACAAAGGCCCTACCAAGGCCAAAAGAAGATCCAACAGTTGCAAAAGCTAGGAGAGAATTTTTATCAAGTGGCCTTCCTGATTCTTTAAAAAAGACCATTGAAAAGCAAACTAGGTAAGTAATAATAATTAATATCAATATTCGTTGAATGTATACAATTTTAGTCTTACCGAAAGAAGCCTAGAGTTGGATGTCTTTCCAAAAACTCAGCATGTTCAACAAAAATGCGACAGTCTCTACTGGAATTTACCAAAACCAGATCTCAAATTGAACGAATTTTCACCTTTAGATCCCCCTTTAACACCCCCAAAGTGCCAAAATATCACCAAAAGTAGCAACATCCGGACAATAAACATCGACAAAGAAGTTCAAAAAGTCGACAATTTGAAGCTACTATTGAACATAATCAAAGCCGAAAATCCCAATTATCCCGTTTACAAGTCATTCAAGCAGATTTACGCGAAATCTGGGAACCCCGAAGAACCGGGGAAACGAAAAGCGGGCCGAAAACCCAAGAAACTTGAAGACCCAGCGATCGAATTACTCCAAAACGTCGCCTGGACGGAAAAATACAAACCAAAGTGCCACGAAGACATCATAGGAAACTCTCAAGCTGTTAAAAAACTGCAAAATTGGTTGGAATGTTGGAAACACTTCAGTCAAGAAATCAATTGCCAAAAACAAAAATCCAACAACAGCGAATCCGAATTTGAATCAACCGATGATGAAGACAGAACCAATACGAGATTACCCGGTAAAATAGTAATTGTACACGGCCCTTATGGTAGTGGGAAAACTTGCGCCATTTATGCTCTTTGCAACGAGTTAAATTTCAACGTTATCGAACTAAATGCATCCAGCAAAAGAACAGGTAATTTATATAACACCCGAGATGTATGTATTTATGTATCTATAAATTCCTCCAGGAAAGCGTCTGCTCCAAGAAGTCCAAGAAGCCACTCAATCTCATCAAGTTCGGAGCGAATCGCAGGCGTTCCAGAATTTCCTCGACAAAGCAAAACCGGCCAAGGATAATCAGGATAAGAAAATGTGCGTAATTTTGATAGAAGACTTGGACGTTGTTTTCGAGCAAGACGAAGGATTTATATCTGCTCTACTGCAGTTTATCGTAAACAGTAAAAGGCCGATTATCGCGACTACCACCGATTATAGTTCAGGGATTGTTCAAAAGTATTTCGATCACTTCGAAGCGATAAGATTCTCGCCGCTTTCTTCGCATTCTCTCGCTACTTGGATGCAAATTGTATTTCTCTGCGAAGGTAATTTTCACCTTGTAATCTCAATTTATTGTAACATTAATTTTTTGTAGGATTGTACGTGTCTCAAAGTGAAATTGCGAATTTGCTGGATTACAATAGGGGAGATGTTCGAAAGACGTTGCTTCAATTTCAATTTTGGGTACAATCCGGAGGCCAATTGGCCCAGAACAAGGAGTTTATAACGAGCAGTTCCAACAAAGGCAAATACGCAGTGTTAGAGCATAAGAACTGCATTAAAAGTTTTGAGATATTCGAAATCGACGAAAAATTCAAAGTTCCGTATTATTTAAACTTAAATCTACTTTGGTGGAACGTTCCGAATATATTGGATGCTTCGAGTGATGCTCAGAAAGGGGAGACATCCAAGGCTGAAAACAGGAAACAGCTGCTATTAGCAGCCAAATTTTATGATTCTATGGCTTATGCAGATGTTGCTTTTACTGCGGGGGGTTACCGAAGGCATTCTGATTCATTAAATAGGAAGGATATTGTACTTAAAGACAGTCTAGAACTATGCGAATGCTCCGATACTAAACATATCGATTTGGAATTTGTCCACGAATTAACTCATTCCTTATTAAATGGATACGTAAACAGTTTGACTGATAACGCCGCTCATTTCAAATTAAATTTAACTATGCCTGATAAACAAGACAAAAAGTAAGTAATATTGAACTAATTATTGTAATTTATATTGTGATTATGTATTGTTTAAGATGGAGGACAAATCTTCAAGAGTACGAAACGGTTTACAAAGAGACTTTGTTATCATCAAGCGATAGAAACTCCACTTCTCTCGACTACATGCCAACTTTACGATCGATAACCAGATCAGAATGTCTTCGTGCAGCTAGCAATACCAAACGGGGAAATAGGTTTAGAAACTATTTAAGAGATTTAAATATTAGATGTAATGATAATGTTACTAAAACGGCTTGCGATGTTTTTGCGTAATTTTACGTAACGAACCATTTATATTATGCTATTGCTAAAAACTATTTAAGACTTTTGAAGTTGATTTTTAATAAACATATTTCGGCGAAAAATAATTATATTTCTTATCCGCTACTCGTCGACATCTCGAAGCAATCGAAGATAAAATAAAATCTCTTCACGCGCGTTTATAAAAGTACGAAATTTTTTAATTGTGTAACATTTTCAATCGTTCGCCCGGTTGTTTTCGATCCCTTTCGGCCTCATCAGTCTCCCTTCTAAGTGGTAGTAATCCTTTCTCTTTAGACTTACTTTAACGACAGAAAACAGTTCTATTGTTACAATGATTCTTTTAAGTGATTTCTTTCTGTTCTTCGGGAATGTAACCATCACCTTCTTCGAATCGTATTCCCACAAAACGCCGAATTCGCAGTTCTATAACAAAATACGTTCACTGTGAATTGCAATTAGAATTACTTTAGAATCTTACGTTGTGGTATATCCTGACTACAGTGCCTGTTTTCAAGACAACAACGTCGATTTTCTTCTCCTTTACATCGACAACGACGGCATCAACTACGAAAGGTTTATGAGCATCTATGTAATGAGCCAAATATAATTCCATGCTAGCGTCTTGGGCCTTTTTCGCCTGGTATTTCTGCGTGTTGCAATTATTCGCTATGGCCTGCACGTAATCAACGTCCCACTGAGGTGGGTCACAATATTCTAAAAACAATTTTTTATAACATAAGATTAATTTAGTTTACTGTGGGTATTACCTAAGCTAGCTGCCAGCAAACGATGTACCATAATATCCGCATACCTTCGAATGGGCGAGGTAAAGTGAGTGTAAATCGGTATGTTCAATGCATAATGTCTCAAATCCTTCGATGTTTCCGCAGTAGCAGCGCAAAAATACTTAGCCCTCGTCATGGGCTTGGCCGTTAAATGATTAAGTGCAACCGCTCTGGATTGTCCTAAAATAACGAATTACATATTCCGCGTACTGATACCAACAAAAGCCGTACCTGCGGCATCGTTCGTGCAATATTTCTTCAAAGAAACCTGTATATCAGCGGCCGAGTTTATGTTCAAGTGAACCCCGTACTCGGCTAAAGTGGTCTGCAGATTAACCAGCATAGTTTCTTTGGGGGGCTCGTGGCGCCTAAGAAACGCTAGCTCGGGGAAAGTGTCTAACAGTTTTTGCGCCACAGAAATATTGGCCAACAACATGAATTCTTCGATCAGCCTGTGCGATTCCAGACTCTCGGCGACGGAGAAATCCTCCGGCTTCCCGGTGAGAGGGTTCAATTCGAACGACAATTTAACGTTGTCGATGCGCAAGGCGCCGTTGCGGAACCTCCTCTCTCGCAGTATCTTCGCCAGGCCCTGTAAAACGTTAATGGTCCTCACTAAATCGTCGAGCTGGAAGCCGTTGCATATCGTCGGGAAATCCTCGCGCGAAATTTCCCGATCATCGATAACGTTTTGAGCGTGCTCGTAGGCTAATTTAGCGCAGGAATTCATTACGGTTCTTGCGAATCGCGTACTCAATACCTCACCTTCTGTCGTGAACTCCCAAAATACGGAAAACGATAGTTTATCTTCGCCTATAAAATTTTGCGTTATTTTAACTAGATATACGTTTTGAATCGAATTACCTGGTAACAGAGAGCAACCGGTGCACATTTCGTAAGGTAACATGTGGTAGGTACTGTCGACCATATAAATAGTAGTAGCTTTCTTGCTGACTATTTGGTCGAGCTCGGTGCCTTCGTGTAAGTAATACGATGCATCGGATATGTGTACACCTATTTCGTAGTTTCCGTTCGGTAATAGTTCGGCCGATACGGCGTCGTCCAAATCCCTTGCGGTGAGGGGATCTATCGTAAAAATGCATTTTTTCCTCAAATCCTCGCGGTACTCGAACTCTTTTTCGGGTATAACGCCGAATTGTGGTACACACTGCTTTAATTCGTCGCTAAACGGTGTGATATCCAAGCAGAATTCTTTAAGAATCGATAAAGTTTCTATCTTGAGATCGCCCGATGAGCCTATTGTTTCAGTTATAATTCCAACGGCGTATTGTGGATCGTCCCATTCTAATATTTTAGCGACTACTAATATGTTTCTGTACTTATCGGGCTGTTCTTTGTAACCGGTTGGCCAATTCAGTTCAGACACCCGCACAATCGGGAATCTTTTATCCCTAGGTGTGAAAGCAGCAAAAGATCCTGTAGAAGGATCGATTGTACGTAAAATACCAACTGCTTGCCTGGGATTCACCTGAAATATAGTGTATTAATAAAGGATTAATTAGGGGTAATAATTCAAAAAATTGTACCTTTTCTTTAATAAACACAACAGTGGCCGTTTTATTTACTCCTTTTTCTCCAGTCCATTGGTCCTTCGGTTTAATTCGCAATACAACTTCGTCTCCTTCTAAAGCCCTATTTCGATCGACCACTGAAGTTATTACATAGTCTTGAAGACTTTTATCTTCGTTGTTAACGTACGATTCCTTGGCATTCTTCGGGTTTATTCTAATAATACCTGCAATTAAAGTCTCGATTATTTTTCGGTGATAATTCATTGAATAAAATTACCTTTCACTAAACTGCCATCGGATAATCCAGCTTTAACGGCTTCTTCCGTGTAGTAATCAGGGAATTTTTCAACGACTTTCTTTTTCTTATCTTTTTTCGACGCTCTCTTCTGTGATTTACTGTCATTGTTTAAATAAGCTGGGTTTGTCGAAACGAACTCACATGAGGTTTTACTGGTGTTTACAAAAGAACGTAAATTAATGAATGGTCCGCTGGTACGTTTCTTTATGAAGAAAGCAACTTTTTTATTAACATTGGCCGGTTTTATGGAGAATTTAAACTCTCTTGCCGGTACGTTATTGCTTGCAGCTGTTGCTACCGGTTTTGTACTCTGTTTCGATTTTGCTTTGTATTTAGCTGGCAGTTTACTGTTTACAGGCGAATTGGACATGCTACTGAGCGAGGAGAGCGAAATACTTCTCTGGTCAGCATCTTGCCTGAATTTATTTTTTCTTATTCTCTGTTTTCTTCTGGTTTGCTTTGGGTTGAGCCCGGCCTTTTCTTGGTGATTAGTAGAGCTTGAACACGACTGTTGAGGATTCTGGATTGAACTCGCACCAGCACTTTTGTTTCGTTTCGAATGTATGGTTAAACTTGCTAGCGCTGAAATGGAATCCGCCAATTGTGCACTGAGAGCCTTTTCAGTTGCCATTTCACAATGTTTTTTAATTTTGCGCGATTATCAACGTAATCATTACAGCTGAGAAACGATAGCGAGATAAGTAAATGTGACAGAAAAATAATTTTTTATATGAAAAACATAACCTACATTATACTATTCTTCTTTTACTGTAGATGATAATTTTGTTTGTAGAAGTAATTCGTAAAAGGCCACGTTCGACGTAAACAATTTATTTTTGACATTTGACAATTTACGTAGTAATTTTTTTGGTTATTTTATATTAAAAATTTGAAAACTTTGATACTATTATTAATTACACAAATTTTAGGAGAGATAAATATGTCTTCGGTGTTGTTTTCGCTTCCAGAATTGTATAATTCGTACAAATCATGGGTAAGCCAAAATCCAAAAACACTAGGAGACTGGGAAAGCATAGCCAAGTGGACGTCTTATTTTCTAGCAGGTAAACCTGAAATTTAATTATCTTATTGCAAATTTACCACTCAAAAACTGTTGCAGGACGAATAAACAATTCACAAATACTATCCGAGTTAATATATTGCCTCTCTAATTTACTAGTAATGTTTAACGATAGAATAATTAAGAAAGCCAACGAACTCCATGATTGTCAATCTACTGTGGAGAAAATCAAATTATGGCTCACTGTTGTTGAATATTCTGAGGTGTTTTGTGAATTATCAGCTCGAAAAATTTGGGGCTCCACTGGAAAATGGGTTGTTATAATATGCATACAAATATTCAAGTAAGTCAAGCATTTATTATGGATTCGTATATATTAAAATGTGTATGCTTTTAGATGCATATCTAGAATGCTTTTGATTTTCCATTACAAGGAGTCGATAATTCAAAATCCTCCTATTCCTGTATTGGACAGAAAAAATGCATTGATTACTGGAGAACATAGCACGTCCCTTGTAACAGAACCTAATTTTGAGTCTATAACGTTTACTCTTAAACGATCAGGAAGAGTTGTGAGAAAAATAGATTCATCTCCACCCACAAGTTAGTATACTTACTTTTATTATTTTGAGATGAATTTATAACTTATTTTCTTAGTCGGAAGAGATTGGAAACCTTTGCCAAAGCCATCATTTTTCCAACCGGAAGGAAATCAGTCGATTAATTCTATCTTAGCGAAAAGAATGTTAATCGCCGAGACTATTTATGTTATCAAACCAATAGCTCATTTAGCTTCATTAGCTTGTTTCGGAACTAAAACGTGGAGGCCCTGGGTTATATCTTTAGCTTTAGACGTTGCAAGGTAATATCGACACAAAATTAACTGCAACTCTCTTAGTTTTGAATGTATTTTTGCAGTTTGGAACTGTACAGGTCGTGTACCAAGAAGAATAAGCAGTCATTGACGAAGCAACAACGTTTGCAAATTTCCAAAAGAACTGTGTTACTTTTATTGTACGTTTTGAGGTCTCCAATGTACGATAAACACAGTAAAGACAGGTTACATTCCTTCTTGATGGCTCTGAGTAATGTTCCTTTAGCTGGATTAGTGTGCAAGCCCTTGGCCGAGTATTTACCTTTCTGGCAAAGTACCTATTTCTACATGTGGTCTACCTAGGTTAAGGATTATTTAATGCTTATGGTGTAGTTATTAATTGTTAAAAAAAATTTACATATCTTTGTTTCTAGGTTAACGTGTAACTAGATTTTAACGATTTTTGATTTTTTTTAATAGGTGATTAATAGAGAGGTACAAAAGTTTTGTGATTTGCAGGGATTTCAAGGTAGTAAAGTATTTTTAATATATTTTTTATATCGTAAATACGCTTTATTTCGTTAATATAAAGATATAGAAATTCGTATATGTCGTCTATTCAAAAACAAAATATTAGAACATCTTGAATATTTCTTTCTGTCACAAATGTTACAAACCTTATCAGATCTCAAACAACTTTGCAATAATAATTAAATCAAAAAAGTAATAAATTGCACGAAATATTCAAAAATTCTTTCATCACAGTGTATCTTAAACATTCTAACAACTAAAGTAAACAAAACAAAGTTTAATAACTAACACTTATTAACACGTAAACAGTTTAATCAATCAATCGTCAAACAATTGACGATTAAAGAAATGGAAATATCAAAAATAAAAAAAAACATGGCACAAAGTCATGGTAACAATACAGAAAAAAGGTAAATATTTTCAAAATAATACGTACGATGTTTGAACTAGTGTGATGATAAACTGGAATCCTCGTAAGACAACCTGATTTGTTTCAATGGAGGTTCCAAATTATAAGTAAACGCATTATCTTCCATTTCTTCCAAAATCGTTTCATATAAAGCTTTAACGCCTAATTGCATTTTTAAATCCTAAAGAAAAAACGATAATACAGCTCACTAATCGAATGTTAATCTCGTTTGAACTTACTTTGGATAACCAGAAATGTTTCAACACCTCATCCAAATTAATTCGATTTTCTGGATCAACAGTGAGCATCCTTTTCACCAGATCTCTGGCATACGCCGAAGTCTCCCTCCATCGGACACTGTTCATCGAATACTTTCCTTTCAAAATCATTTGCTCCAGCTCACCATTTTTTTCCTTACACCTAAAACCACAAGAATTCGTACCAATTTAAGCACACATAAAACTTCTACTCACACAAAGGGCAGTTCCTTTCCTAGCATATAAAACAATATAACGCCGAGGCTCCAAACGTCGACTTGCTTGTTATATCTGGAAACGTGTCGGTTGAGTATCTCCGGGGCTATGTAGCTCATCGTACCGCACACGGTTCTCATCATGTCATCGTCTTCCGTCACCTTGCTCAGCCCGAAATCGGACACTTTCACCAAAGTCTCGGTCTCATCGGAGTAAAGCAGAACGTTCTCGGGCTTCAGGTCTCGGTGCGTCACGCCCTTGCTGTGCAAATACTGCACGGCCAATACTATTTGGTAGAATAGGAACTTTGCGTTCGACTCCGTCATGGGCTGGTGCGATAGAATTCTGTTGGTCAGTTCACCTCCTCGCATGTAATCTAACACTATGAACACTTCTTTGGGCGTTTCGACGATGTTCATCATGCTGATTATGAAAGGCTAAAAAATAATAAATTGATAATGCAGTGTGGACATCCTGTAGAATTAGAGAGATTTACGTACGAATTTTAATGTAGAAAGTATATCTATTTCGGTTTGTATTTTAGAGGGATGGTTCAGCTCGTGTTTCTGAGATAAAGTGCTGCGACCTTTGATGATTTTTTTTATTGCTACCATCTTGCAGGTCAACTACAAAGAATTAAACATAATTTATTTCGTTTTGCTTCAGATTAATGTATATATTTTGTACCTTTTCGTAAGCTAAACGTACTTCTCCCACAGCTCCTTTGCCTAATATCGTAGATGGTTCGTACATTGCTTTGAGCTCAGGAGGAAGAAAATTTGTATCGTGATCATACATACATTTGTATATAAACACTAAAAAGAACAAAAAATAATAATAATGTTTCTAGTAATTTGAGAATAAATCAGATTACCCTGTAATTTTGGTCCGATGGCTATCCTATCGTTATGCTGTAGAATCTGATTCTTATTTTTACCAATGAGAACGTTATTTATGTACGTCCCGCCTCTGCTTAAATCAGTAATGTAGGCGATATTATTACCGGGGTCCTTGCCTATAATAAAGTGCTCCTTGCTGAAAATCAGCTTCTTTCTTCCCGTTAACTTCGTTTGCTCGATCGAAAGGTCGCAGGTCCTCGATCGACCCACCCTGAATGTATCTTTGTGCAAATCTACAGCGAAATTAACGATTAGTAATCATAAAATAATACAATGTAACTAATTTACCACAAGACTCCAATTCTTCCAAGCAAGACAGAAGTCGCCCCCAGACTGGCAGGACGTTTATATACTTCGGTGTGACTTCTAAATTGCTCAACGGGGTTAAAGTTTTAGGCAGGTTGTCTGTTAAAAGTAACTCAAAGATGTATACTGAAAATGAATGATAATATTACATATTAATGATTCTAGAGGGTGTCTACAGGAATACAGTAAACAATACTGAAGTATACTTACTAATCGGGTTTATCTGGCCCATCGATATCTTGTCGTTAGTCTTAAGTAATACTTGTCCGTTCCTTTGTACTTTCTTACCGTTCACGTACGTTCCATTTTTACTTGTATCTTTTAGATAGGCGAACAAAGAGTCCGGTTTCCTGAATATGGTAAAATGGTTTTTGCTGACGCTTTTAAGGATATTAGCGTGGCTTCCGAAAGTCGATTCAGTTAATACAATATCGCATACTTGCGATCTTCCTACGCTCAATGAATCGCTAATGATGGCTGGAAATAGAGGAAATAATAATTTGAATTTCTAATAACAACCTGTTGATATGCATTCTTGATTTAGTGGTGTTGATATTTAATGAATTACAGGCGCTTGCTAGATTCTTACCTACAGATTTCAAAGTGGATATTTGCGAGTTTAACACAGCCCACTTCGCGTCTTGGGAGCTTTCTATAATATCTTCGCTCATTTTTCTAAACAATTTTGTAAATAAAAAAGCACACTTGACACAACGAATGCCACAAACAATAAAGAATAACACAAACTGTCAACTTAACTAAGAAAAAGGAAACGAAAAACAAAGAATAGTACAAAATTGCTGATTATGCCGCCATGTAAACGAAAAAAATGCTGTTAAGAATTTATCGTGAGCCGCAAAATAGGATGCGCAACGGATTTATCTTTTAATGCACATGTGCAACAAGAAGAAGATGGTTCATCTGTCATTGTCAATTGCCTTGACTGTTCTTTTGTGGTAATTTGGCCAATAACTCTGCTTGTATTATGAAGAAATTTTATCTCGAATTACTTTCAATACATAAACAGAGAAGCATAAAAGGTATGTTTTATTTTAGATAAAGCAACTTCAATTATTTTGAACCAAAAATAATAGTATTCACACTCAATGGATAAGATAATAGGAGTTTATTTAAAAATAGGGGTCAACTTCATGAAATATAAATGTGTTGATATTTTTGTTAATTTATTCATTGTAACGTGGTAACAAAACGGGCTCTGCCCTATGAAATTCAAATTCGAACTTTAACTACATTAACAAAACTAATCTACTTTTCTTCTATCACATGTTATGTAGCAAAATATAACAGTAAGTTACGCTATCTTCCCAAATTAATGTACAAGATTTAACGAACACTTGGCATTTTGTACGAAATAAGTAAAAATTGACAAAACACGTTCTTGTACAATTTTCAGATGTCAAAAAAACCTCAAGTTTCGTTCATGTCGAGCAAATAGTTAACTTCTTCGCCTGAAAGGTTGTTTTCCAACATTAGATCCCTCAGTTCCGGCATATCTGTGAACTTTTTCGAGTATTTATCGAGGATGTTTTCGTCGATTTCTGTCACCGGGTTGGTCTCGATGCTTTCCACCACAACGGACTCTGAAGAATGGCAAATATCATTGACATCGTTGAAATATTTCCAATGGTATGGATTTTCACTGGACTTAAGTAACTCGTACCTGCAATAAGACCTTCTAGTCATCTCTATTAGGTGTTATCCTATTATCCCTACCTGTAATACAAATCGTTCCACTCGTTGCAAATAGTATCTGATGATAAATGGCAATCGTATTTTTTAAATTCCTCGATGATGTAATTCAAAAGAGCGGGAGTTAATTCTTTGTTGAAGCCCAATTCGCTTTTTTTATTCTTGATGCAATTGAGGAGAGTGTATCTCATGGCTGAATTAAATGCCACAGTTTCCTCGGTTCTTCTGAATTTGTTTTCGTTTTCATCGTTACTTTGGATTCTCCTTTTTAACGGCGTGTGATATTTCTTGTAGAGAACAAATTCGGGGCTTTGGTAGAACAGTCTCATGGCCTCGAAATAGTCGTCGAAGCCTCGGTCCATGCAACCTGTCTTCATGAGGAGTTTCTTCTCTCGGTAACATTGCTTCAAGAACTCCCATTGATTGTAAATATCCAATTGGTTGATGTCGTTGTTTCCAAGTATTTTGAATTCTTTTTCAACGGCTTCCAGGACCTCTTGCGTGAGTCCTTGCTTGGCCAGAATGTTTCTGTAATTAGTCATGCAATCGATGAGGAAAAATGTTAGGTCCGAGTTGAATTTCTCGGTGTCTTTTCGATCAAAACAATTATCCATTAATTCGAACAAGTTCCAAGCCTGCTTCGCGTCTTCGGTGGAGTAATTCTCCTTGTAATAGTAATATTCCTCGAGCAGTTTTTTCCATGTTAATAAAATTTCCTTCTCCGAGAAAACGAAGCCTTTAGTTTTAAAAGTATCCTGAACGTCCCGGACGAACTTGTGTAGATTTACCGATTTGTCCGTTTTGCTTAAATTGTGCGTCATAAAAATATTTATCAGTAACCTGATTCGGTCGAAATCGTCCATTAGTTTCATTTCTGTTCAATAGCGAATCGAAATCGTCTTAAATTAAACGCTAAAACAACAAAATTCAATTTGGATTGAAGCGTGCTCAACTTCTTCCATTTTTTTAAGTAATAAAATAAACGTCAAAATTTTTTAAACTTCTCTTTTTATGTTGGCCTTTTTCTTATAGGTAATGCAGTTAAAATGAAATATAATTTAGAAAAACGTAATAATTTCCAATAAAAATAGCTTTAAAGCTGTAAATTAAGGGTTTTTTGAAAACATAAGAAGTTTTTATGGATATTTCATTCATTCTAAAGAAAATCAAATGTTTTACGCCTGAAGTTAGGTAAGGAACTCATCAACTCCTAAAGTAGAAGATTATTTTGAGGTTATGTTATATTGCATGCAAACTTCAGTTTTTACTTTTCAAACTTTTTAGGATAAATTATTAATTATGGAGCAAAATACAACTGCTCAGAATACTACCACTGAGGAACAAAACCCCTATGCTTATTTGGAACGAGATTTCTCGTCTGAAAATTATAAAATAGAAGTAAAAAATTTGCCAAAATATTATGGAATCAATGTAAGGTTCACCTTACAATAAAACCGCCATCAATTAATTTATTTTATATGAATTTGTAGGAATTTCGTAAATTGTTGAATGAAAAATTGAAGTTAAATTCGAATAAAGTAAAAACCACGAGAAAGAACAGCCCTTTCGCTTTCGTTTGTTTCCGCAGCGACGAAGACAGAGACAATGCATTAAAAGTACTTGATAAATATAAGTGGAAAGGAAAGGAGTTGGTAGTAATGGTATTAATTTACAACGTAAGTTTGTCAACGAGTTTAATCAAATTATTGTTATTAGAAAGCTAAACCTGCTCCTGATCCGCTAGTGAAGAAGAGAAAAGAAGATTGCGATGAGCAAGGTGGCAAAAGAGCTAAATTCGAAGGGTCTTTGGAGGAGCGATTAAAAAATTCAACTATACCATTTTGGAACGTTGAATATTCAAAGCAGGTAATAAGATTTGATATCCACAAATGTATGTAATTTTATACCGAGCCCTTTTTTAGTTGGAAGAAAAACAAGAAAACGTGAGGAAAGTATTACAAAAACTCGGAAATGGCCTGGCTCATAATAATCCAGAATTACAAAAGTGGATAGAAAATCAAAAAGTACTGTACAATGGCTTACCTTGTGAATTGAGTAATATACGATATGCAGACGAAAATAACGGGTAAAATAATATTACATAAACGAAAATAATAAAAACTATTTAAAATTTAAATTTTATAGGTACAGAAATAAATGCGAATTTACTGTGGGTTTAGACGAAGAAACTAAACTTCCCACCGTCGGTTTCAGAATAGGAAGTTATGTAAATGGTACTACGGGTGTAGGACCCGTTGAAAACTTAATGCATATTCCAGAATCCATGAAACTAGCTGTTAAAGTATAAAATTGAATACGCGAAATATTCATTCATTATCTTGCTATATTTTAGTTGTTCGAAAAGTTCGTTAGAACCTCTGACTTAGATGTTTTTAATCCCGAATTCCACACTGGCCATTATCGACAATTAATGGCCAGATCAGCCACTAAACAACTGATGTTAGTTGTGGGCATACACCCGCAGGATTTAACCGAAGACAAATTAAACGAATTCAAAAGCAAATTAATCGATTACTTCAACTCGGGAGATGGAAAAAGCGCTAACGTAACTTCATTGTACTACCAGAAGATAGTCAAAAAGTAAATTGGTAATAATAACACAGCGAATCATTTATTAATGGTCGTTTTTTAGGAATCATAATAACGATGTAACACCATCGGAACACCTTTGGGGAGACACACACATATACGAAGAAATTTTAGGCTTGAAATTCAAAATATCCCCAGAAGCTTTCTTTCAAATTAACACGAAAGGCGCTGAAGTTTTGTACCAAGCTGCCATGGAACTGGCCGAGCCGCTCGATAATTCGACAGTACTGGACGTTTGCTGCGGTACAGGGACAATCGGTTTGTGCTTCTCGAAGGTAATAAAACATGTAATTGAAGAAAGGAGATGGAAAGGAGTTTTATTGTTAATTCTAGAAATGCAAGCAAGTTTTGGGTATAGAGATAATCCCACAAGCGATCGAAGATGCTAAAGAAAACGCTAAATTGAATCAAATAACAAACGCTGATTTTGTAGCTGGAAAGGCCGAAGACACTCTAGGGAATGTTTGTTTTAAATCGACCGGAGAAAATATAATCGCCGTCCTAGATCCACCTAGAGCGGGAATTCGTAAGTACTATCTTTTAACAAACACTTACACCTAATCTCTTGGTTGCTTTTCAGACAAAAAGGGCGTTTGTCAAATAAGAAAAATATCGAAAATCAACAAAGTCGTGTACGTTTCGTGCAATCCATCCGCTGCATTGGAAAATTTCATCGACTTCGGTAGACAGGAATCGAAGAAAATCAACGGGGACGCTCTGGTGCCCACGAAAGCGGTAGCTGTGGACATGTTCCCTCATACGAAGCACTGCGAGCTCGTCATTTGCTTCGAACGGTGGCTCAAAGTGGGTAAAGAATTCCAAAGCGAACTGCAAGGTAACAGCGACGAAGCAATCGATGGAAAAGATGTAGATAAATAGGATTAATTAGGAGTATAAACGGTTTGTAACAAAAAATATTTTTATTTACAGAAACAACATTTCTTTTAACATTTATATGAGTATAGAAATTATCCCGCAAACGTAAAATCTTTTTTATACATATCAAAATTTTGGTTAGAATATGCTCACTTTTAGTAGTAGACTATCAAAATGTCAACCGTCGCCTTTAGAAAGGCAGAATGAGACGAGTAAAAATAAATTTCTAACTACATTAAGGTTACGAACATTCGTTCAAATATTTTACGCAATACGAACTAAGTTAATAAATTTATAAATAAAAAATATTCTAAATAGGAATTGAAAATTTAGTACGACCATTAAAAATATGATAGTATCTTAATAAAAACAACACTTGTCTCATTCTTCATCTCTTCAGCAACTGTTGTATTCAGTTTATGCTATAACTCGTCGTGCATTCCGTTATTCTGGCTCACTAAATAATTACCGGTGTATTGCAAGTTCGAATTAAATCTATTAAGAGAATTGAGGACATCACTGTGGTTTTTTGGCGTGTGTGCAAATAACAAGTGCAGTTGTCTTAACGATTTGAGCCTACGTAGGATGATTTGCCTTTCGAGTTTCTCGGATTTCCTCCATTCCCTTAAGGTGGTTTCAATTAAATTGAGAGTTTCGCCCAAAAGTCTCGAGTAACAATGAGCTTGCCGATGCGCCAACTGGAATTAGAATGAGTTTGTCTAATTTATTCGCAAAGTAATGCATTTATCATACCTTTGTTTGAATGCATACAGACCAAATGGCTTGAAGTTTTAAATTTGGTTCAAGGTTTGCCAGAAGAAAGTTTATTAAATTGGACACCGATATGGGAATTCCGGATGGAAATACTCTACTCTCAGATTTCCTACAAATTAGATATTAACAGGTTAAAATTATAAAGAGTTATTGCTTACAAACCTTCTTGTAGGGAAAAATAATATTGTAGGATAACTTCCCATCGTATACTCCCATGGTAAAACATTAATTTCTCCATTAATACGAGTGAAAACCAGGTTTTTCACTAAGGACATTTTCTTGGCTACAGTAAGATAAACATACGATACACCGTTACAGAATGAACACTGCTTGGAATAGTAAAAAACTATGACAGACTACAATAAATGAAACCAATTAATCCTGCATCAAATTAGACATATTCGAACATACCTTATCGTTTCGTAACACAGTGGACAGGAATGTATCGGTATTTAATTCTTTCACAAACACTTTCGATTTGTTCTCAGCTTGCTCGGGTGGCGCTGATAAAGTACTCATCGAATCAAACGACCTATTCAACTGACTCTCCGTGTAATTTAGTATAAACTCTTTTAAAGATTCCCTATTAATTGATTGTTGTAGGACGAAATGAGACTCCAACTGCAAATCAAATTAGCTACGATTTAGACGAGTATAGTATGTTCTGAATATCATCGCGTGACGTCACCGCTTTGTTAAATTGAACATAGTATACTTGCAGTGAAACTGACCTTATCGTTTAATATCACTGCGGCGCTTCGATCGGGCTGCTTGCTCAAGTCGATGCCAAGCTTTTCGGCGAATTTGTAATGCAGTAGACTGTCCATTGCTAGAAACACCAAGGTCTTGTTGGTTTTGCAAGACAGGCCGGCCAGGCTGATGTTTCTTTGGGGCGAGATGGATTTCGCGAACAAGGCGGGGTGCACCTTTTGCGCAGCCAAAAACAGCTTGCATTTATCCTTTAAATAGGTCGATTTTAGATTGTCTGACGATCTGTAATCACCAAATTCTGGAAGTATAATACAAAACGTTTTATTAACGAATTTACATGTACAGGAGGTTCGATTGTTACCTGGTTCTGAGGAACTTTTTAAATATTCTACGTCATCTAAAAATTTACTTTTACTCTTACAGCCGGAGTCTTTATTTACTCTAGGATATAATTCTAAGCATTGTTCAGTCTTCATGTTAGCACACATTTTTCTTACAGTGTTCTCCGTTAGTGTATCGCAATCTTTGCACTTTGCTTGTGAACAATACGATGCATTCGTCCACACAGTTTTCAAGTTAGAGAGTACTTTTTGAGTAGATATTTTCGAATTAATATTGCACATTGTTTGTAGCTGCTTGTGGATTAAAGTATTCGCTGCAAATAACGGTAGGATTTAAAAAAAATAATTTTTTTTATTTCATTTTCTCACCAGCTCTTCTCAATTTCAAATGAACTGTGAGCATGTTTGTGATCGTATCATCTTCGCAAAGGAAATATTCCTGGGCTATTTCTTGCAACTGCAAATTACAAATAAATTACATTTGCATAGATAGGGAAAGGTGACTTACTAAATTATAATAGTCGATATTAATGTGCAAAGGATTCCTCGGCGTAAAAAGTATAAGTGACGCTCCGTTTTGGATGGTATTAGATAATACCATACTTTTAGTCCCGCTCGGTAATACCCATGAAGTTACTTGATGAGTATGCTTAATAATCCATTGTAATATCTCATCCGGCAACCACGGTTTATCACCGATTGGAAATACCTAAAACAATAAATACAAAAGTAACCCTTAATGTATTTTATAACGGGTGTTTTTAATTGATTTATTGACTTATACCTACTAATGTTTCGTTCCACAGAAATAACCGCATAGATGGTTTCGAAACTTTAGCTGGTGAAACGTAAAATGCAATTCGATACTGAGGATCCTTTTCCAAATATTTAAGCGCTGCTGTATACAACACTGCGAAATCTCTACTCCCCGGCGACGCATTCAATTCCACCTTTACGTAAGCCTACAAAACTCTAATTCAATACAAATTCCGATGAATAACAATCGAAGCACTAACATCCTGAAAATCCCTAACGCTTTCTTTCCCCAGATGCCTTATCGGTTGGCACACTTTATTCAAGAACTCGATCATATGAGGCGCACGCAAAGGACCGTTGTATTGAATCCCTCTTCCGTGTGGAAGGTAAGCAATTAGTACAGGCCATTTGTAGACTTTGTTGTATTGAGTCCTGCATTCGCCTTGAGGTTGCCAGCAATTCACAGCGACGAATTTAACGCGATCCTGCAGGAATTCCGCCGCTACTTCGAATTCGTGCCGAGCGTTCTGACTGTCCGCGTCCCATGGTGCATAGAACATAACGAAAGCGACGTCGCTGTTTCTGGCGCTTTCGATGGCTTTGCTTATGTGCCCTCGATACCAATCGGTCACGATTGAGTTCTCAGCGAAGAAACGATAGGCTGCTGGCGATTTGGATATCTTCGGAGGACTGCAATGAACACCATGTGGTACGTGTTTAATGGGAAATGTGCTCGACTTACTCTTTGCTAAATGCAGCGTATACCATCATCACTAGACAAAATATCGTGAATTCCCTGCAAAAATTTAGCATTCTTAAAGTTAGAGTGGGAAATTCGTCGGGTTCCTCGCTGTTTTCGGATTTGTCGTTTCCGTTGGTATAATTTGAATTGCTTGTATTCGTGTGACTGATAACATTATCATCAGAATCGTGGCAATTATCGGGCAATTTTTTAGCCTCCTTGGTCTTCAATTTTAACAAAGACATACCCGTACTGCTTCATTACATAGCCCTAGAAGTTAACCTTCTACCATTGTTTTTGTATTAATTATTATCCTAATTCGATTAAAGCTACTTCTAATTTAATTTAAAAAAATATAATCTTGTTAAAATACGAAACTCCAAATCGACACCAAATAAAATATAAACACGTCACACGTCAGAAAACTTGTGACAATTCATTCTTCTTTTTATTAATCAATAAATATTCAATTTTACTATCAATAGATTACCATTTACTCATTATAAAATATGAATAATTAATTTAGAAAGTACTAAATAATGAGAACATCGAACATTCGAATAAAAAATGAGTACTTATGATGGCTGTATAACCAATTGAAATCAAATTTTTAAACGCATTAGTTACTAACTTCAATATATTATAAAATTAATGACAGGTGACAGTGACAGTGATGTAAAAATGAAAGATGATTGACAGAAATTTCAGAAAAACATTTGTAAATTCTATAAAGGGGTAAAAATGATATAAAAATATTATTTGACTAGTTGTAAATATTAAATAGTAACAGTACTGTGATATTTGTAATGGCTGATGAAGGGTCTGATCAAGAGCTTCGAAAAACCCTTCATATGATCCAATCCATGATAGATGTTTCTGCTCAACGTTTAGAAGGACTAAGGACACAATGTGCAACCAGTGCAGAATTGACCCAACAAGAAATACGAACACTTGAAGTAATTATAAATATTTATAGTATTTTTTGTTTACGTTTTCAGCAAAGTGGGTGCGTTTGACCTAGACCTCTATTCACTGATTAAGCTTACTGCTGCTAATTTTATAAATGAAAACATAACAGAGAAACCATTGTTTCAGGCAAAACTAATAACAATGTTCTCCGAACAATTAGTGATAAAGTTAAAGATAAAAAGCGGCCGTGATGAGCACATACCATCTCTTACACAGTGGCTACAAGTTGTCGGTTTGGAAAAACCTAGTATATTTTGTTTGTGTCAGAAGTTATCTTCAGTCGAAGAATTACAGGAAAAAACCGATTTTGAATTGAAAACTATATTATTGGATAAAGGCTCCAAACCCGAAGAGTTTGCCAAACTTTGCAGGGCCTTGCATAATTTGAAAAGATACGTCAGTAAGTATTATCGCAAACGAATCGCTACATTACGTTAAACTATAAAAATGTTTGTAGCTAAATTAAAAAAGGGGGATGCGGATTCTAACGACATCTCCGACCTCCATTGGGACTCGTGGGTACCCGACCACAATCACCAAGTTAAAACGGGCCTGTCCCCGAGACCGGGCAGATCGAGAGCCGCAAGAACCTCGGTACCTTCCGAAGAGAGCCTCGGCTTGAACAACAACAACAACAGGGGAGGTGCGATTATTCCTCCGTCGTCTTCGGTGTCTAGTATTGACACGTTGAATGCTCAATGTAATGTGCTTGGACCTCCCTTAACCCCGCCAGGTCATGCTAGGGGGAAAGGTATGCATGTGCATGATAGTCATTAACATTCGATTACGATAAATAACGAAAAATTCCCTTTAAATTCGTTTATAGGAAGGTATTTTTTTAAATAAATTTTTGTGAGATAAATTATTCGATAATAACTATTACACATTGTTCGATCGTTTCATTTATGTGGAAATTGTTGAGCGTATTAATTTTACTGCTATTCTGATTTAAATATCTTTTGTTTGGTGAGTAATAATTTGGTGTATGTGAAAATATATATGTCGACTTACTGCATGTAAAGCGAACAATACAAAAAAAAATCTTCTACATTTCGGAACACTACACTGTTTCAATTTTCCCAAAAAACTCGTTTAATATTATACGTGGAATGCTAATCGTTAATGTTCTCTAGAGTATGATTAAATGTTCTGCATATTGGACTATCTAAATGTCGAATCTTGTCTCAAAATCTTATGCAAGTCACGTCTTCGGAACAAATCCATGATTTTAACTGTAATACTAAATAAACTGTAATCCGTCTTTTAAGCCAATACTGTTATCGTGGATTTAGGTTCGAAATTTCCAACAACACCGCCGGCTAGAAGGAGACATCAGACTGGTAACGTGCCGACCCTGCTCCCCGAATATCCCCTAACGAAGAGCAAATCGCACGAGTCTCAACTGGCAGCGGGTAAAGGAGAAGCCGATTCGAAGTATTCAAAGTTAGTATAATCCCACCGGAGTACTAGACACGATTTATTAAATTATTTTGTGTTTTATAGCGGCACCGGGTCAGTCGGTAGAAGAGGCAGGCTTCCGACCGAACCGGGTCCTGATACGATGGGCTACAGCAGCCCGCTTACTACGAGCCCTATTAAATCGCCTCCGTATAACCACTCATCTGCGGGTAACAGCGATGATGGCAGTTACAAATGTACGTAAAACCGGCTTAATCGTAATTACAGTTGGGATTATTTCGCGATTATTTCAGCTATAAGTTTATCAGTTCCTCCGAAGTCTCCTCGAACGCCTACGGTAGGCGTTGGTAGGATAATGACGCACCAAATCAGCCACAGGTTTACGAAAACCTTCAAAATGATGTCGTCGTGCGGTTACTGCCAAAAGCCGATATTCGGCAAAGGGTTGAAGTGCAAAGAGTGCAATTACACCTGCCACAGAGATTGCGAAGATAAGGTGACACCTTCCTGCGGACTGCCGGCCGAATTACTTAACGAATTTAAGAAAAATATGACAATGGATGGCGGCAATCCTTTCATATCTCCTACTCCTAGTCGAGCGACCGGGAAAACTATCATTAATTTGTACAGGCGAAGGAAAAACTCTCATCCGCAGAATTCGATAAACACTCCTCCGTTTCCTGTAAGTTACTCGAACGCAACTTCACCTCGATTTTTCACTGTTGTTTGTAATTTCCAGCCGCCCGATTCCAGTTCAAATACATCGAGTTGCAACAGCTCGACGCCATCGAGCCCAGCCGTTCAAATATTGAACACACCGCAGTCAAGTCAGAGATCCTCGTTTCATTTCCCAGGTATACCGCCCAAGTTTTCTCCCGTCATTCGAGAAATGCGTAATTTTTTTTGTTGATTAGATGTTACAGTGGGCGAACCAACCTCCGAGGTAACATTGGAAACGCACCCTCTACCGCCAGCTCCGCTGTTTCATCGCGACGTGATCAATTCCCAGCAAATGACCGACAGCGAGAGGACGGCTTCGCAAACATCGGAAAGTACCAGCACCGATTCCGACAAAACGCCGGTTAGAGTAGACTCACAGGATAGCCAAGTGTCCGATAGTGATACTATAACGGACGGGCACCGATGGCCTCGACAGAATAGCGTATGCATATACTATTTTTTTGATTGATAACTTGCTAATAAGCTTTCGTTTGTAGTTGTCGATGAGAGAATGGGACATTCCGTTCGACGAGTTGAAAATGAACGACGTGATAGGCAAAGGTAGATTTTGCACGGTGTACAGAGGCCAATGGCACGGCGACGTGGCCGTCAAAGTGCTGAACGTGATTTATTTGAAGGACGAGAAAACGTTGGACCATTTCAAGAACGAGGTGTCGACGTTCCGGAAGACGCGCCACGAGAATTTGATTCTGTTCATGGGCGCTTGCATGAAGCCGCCCAAGCTGGCCATCGTGACGAGCTTGAGCAAAGGCATGACCTTGTACACTCACATACATTTGAGAAAGGATAAATTTAATATGAACAAGACGACGAATGTGGCGCAACAGATTTCTCAGGTTTGCGACTTCAATCGTTTAAATAACGCAGCAAAGTTATAATTGATTATTTTTACAGGGTATGGGCTACCTTCACGCCAAAGGTATTATTCACAAAGATTTGAAAAGTAAAAATATATTCATAGAAAACGGTAAAGTCGTCATCACGGATTTTGGTCTCTTCAGTGTAACGAAATTGTGCTTCGGAAACAAGTAAATAACATCCCACGACTGTAATTTACTCTTCTTTAATTTTTTATTTTATCATTTTAGAGATACGGACAGTTTGGGTATTCCACCGGGTTGGTTGTGCTACCTGGCGCCCGAAATAATGAAAAGTTTACACGCTCATCAACCTCACGATGAAGAATTGCCTTTTAGCAAAGCTTCCGATGTTTACGCTTTCGGGTGAGAATAATTTTTACCGTTCGATATCAACAAAGGTAGTGAGAAAATACGATTTTTTTTAGAACCGTGTGGTACGAATTGCTGTGCGGAGAATGGCCGTTCAAAGGTCAACCTCCTGAAGCTGTGATATGGCAGGTGGGAAAAGGGATGAAACAACCACTAGCCAATCTTCAAGCGTCTAGAGATGTGAAGGTAATTTCATTGCGCAATTGATTAACTATTGATTAATCGTATTATTTTTGTATTCGCTGTAGGATATCTTAATGCTGTGCTGGTCATTTCACGCCGACGATAGACCGGATTTCGTTAGGTTACTCAATATTTTGGATAAATTGCCGAAGAAGCGGCTGGCGCGGAGCCCGTCTCATCCTATACATCTTTCTAGATCTGCGGAATCTGTATTCTAAAATTGAATGTTGTTCATGTGTTGCCCGATGTCTGCTGGGCACGTGGTATACAAAAGTGATTTTAGTGTGATTTTGTAAATATAACAACTACAACGCGAATCCTCACATTCGATTGAAATGAAGATTCTGAGATGACGTTGTTTTTGTTTGGAAAATGTGTATTTAATTTTGAAATCCAGAACCTTTAGCACAAACTCGCACTGTAGATAATAAATAAAATGTATTTTATTCTCCAGCTTTAAATATTCTCATAAAATCTACTTATTCGTGAAATTTATCTGTACAACTCGAATTTTTACTACTTACGTAACAAATTTCATTTCTTTAAGTTATTATGGAGAACATGATGGATAATATTTAAAGCTATTTTTGAATTAATAATTATGATAGTACAAAGTATAATTCTAAAGTAAATCTGGATTTGGAATCTTCAAGTTTTTTAGCTGTAATTAATATTTTAAACTATTAATTACAGCATAATTGTTTGAATTCTCTGAAAACAAGTGTTTGTATTTCTAAATTACGAGTTCCAGGAGTATTTATTCAATAGAAAACAAATACATACACTTATATTCAACGTTTTTAAACTTTCGTCTTAAAAGTCTATTATAATATAGTACAATTTTGAGGCTTAACATTTTCGGCCCATATCTTACTATCTTCTCGTACATCAACTGTAATTTTAATCTGTAATGTATAATATTTTATTTAATAACGTTTTAAAAACGTCGTTTTGTACATACGTGTTTAATACCTTTTTTTAACTCAATTGTTGAGTGTATTTTTTTATATTTGACGAAAGGTACTCAAAATATTCAGTATTTATATACAAGGTGAGTATAAAACCGGTTTACTCTTTGGTAATTGCATTAGTTAACTCACCTTGTATAAATGCCTTGTAAATATAGGATATTAATTCAAGGGACTTTTCTTTGTAAATATATTCTGATCTGTTTGATGTACACATTATTAATGTATCTTGATGTAAAAAATAAAAATAATGCGTACATTATAAACGGAAACAGTTATGTGTAAAGTTGAAATGCATTCCTAAACATGTTTCTTTGACTCTAGTCAGTTTGTAAACATTTTACAAAAATTGAAAAGACCGTCGAGTCTTTTGAATTTTTAAATCTACTTATTATGCTACTGTAATAAAGACTAGGGTAGGTAAATAAAAAATTGAATTGTTAATTGGTTATTACGTACTTACTCTGTACATGTTGTTAGAATAGGATTAACTTTTTGCGAATCAAAACCAGCAACACTCGTACAAAAATATATTCTAGAATTAAGCCAAGTCTTAAAGCTACAAAATTTTGTATAACAGACTACTTTTCCGCAATGGCTCGACTCAAACATTCGTCCAATTTCGACGAAATCCTCTTGTGCACTTTCATAGCCGCGTTCAAATCCTCGAGCGACTCCTTCATTCGATCGAGCTCCCTAATCATCTGAGACTTGTCCGGTTTATTCGACAATAAATTCGCTCGAATGGAATCCAGAAAATCGTCGTCCACATGAAATTCCTCCGCCAACGTTCTCCGCGTTGTCTTCTCCTGCTCCTTCTCCAGCTCTTCCTCCACCATCTTCTTAATCCGAGGGTTGTAAACGTAAAACCAATCGCAAGACCTATATTCTTCCAGCGAGTTAATATTATAAACGACGAAGTATTCTTTAAATATCGTGCGGTATTTAAATTCGTTTTCTAAAGTAAAATCTCGTGCCAATTTCTCCGTACCCCATAATTGTACTACATCCGACCAAAGCACCCGTTCGATGTCCTCGAAATTGACTTTTGGGTCGACGTGGCGCAAGAACAGGCTCATGGTTTTGTAGAAGAGCCTTTCGGGCTCCTCGGTTATCTGCGAGCAGTATTTTAAAACGCTCATCTCCAACTCGCATTCGTCCTTCGGCGGCCAAGCGAGCGACCAAGCCGGTAAATTTAACCCGCTCAACAGTCGCTCTAATTTCCTCGCGTAATCCGCGCTCCTCCAAAACGCCGGGAAATAACAGTAAGAACACGGCAGAAAATCCGGAATTTCGCTGTTTAGGTACTTCTTGAACTCCTCCGGGAACACCGGAAACTCCGCGTTGTTCTCGTCGAGTATGATGGCTTTGATTCTGCTCAAACCATCGTTGTACAAGCCGATAACCACGTTCGGATTTTGCAAGCATTTCTTGTAGTTCGAGTTCCACTTCGCGAAACTGTTGGCCCTCTTCCACATTTCCGAGCACAGGTGCTTCGACGCGAACGATTTCAGAGTATCCAATTCCAACGGGGGAGGGCGCTGGATTCTCTTCGACAGGAACACCAACCCTTGCTCGATGGCGCTCAGGAAATTACCCGGCGAAGAGTTCTCCACGTACACGATGTAATCGGAGACGATGTTCTCCTTGATCAATTCCTCCAAGCGGCAGTCCTTCTGGTCGAACTCCTGCAGCACCAGCACGATCGGGATCCTGGTGTGGACGCCTAAGTGGCGCAGATTCTCGAAGATCCTGCGCTGGAGCGCGCCGTTGAAGTTTTTCGCCACGAATATTATCCCGTTCGAATCGTAATGCCTTATTTTATCGTAGCCCTGCTGTTTCTCGACGCAGTAGGTAACGGATTCCAACGCGCTGGGCTTCGTGTACTCCAAATGCAACGATTGCCCGTCGATTTTCTTCCAAGGAAACGCCTTATCCAGGATCTCTTCTATCCTGTTCAATCCGGTGGCGAGTTCGCTCTTGTCCGGTATGCTGATGAGGACTTTCCAGAAAATGTTCTTCGGTTTGTTCACCGTCAGTTCGAACATTCTGTTTTTTAATATACCGTAAGTTAATTGGTGAATGTTTATTTTTTCGATTAGTTCGTCCGATAATTGCTCTATATTTAGAGCTCTACCGTATTTGTACCGTTTCATTAGGTTCAGTGTTAGATTTTGGGAATCTATGTGCAATTCTTCTGCAGATTGTTGTAGAGATTTTTTGCTGAACCACATTGGACCGCAATCTACAGCTTTCCGCTTCCTTTTGTTCTTTAATATCCTATTTTTCCACATCCCGACCATCCTTAATAACAATCTTTTCTGTACTCTTGCTTTAATAGCTTCCAGTTTTTCAAAACGAATCATCTCGTCCACCTCGCCGACTAGATTATTTAAAACTTTCTTCACGGAGTCCTTGATTTCTTTGTCCCTTAGCCGCTCCTTCTCTTTCAATCGTTCCGTTTCCTTCATTTCGTTTATCCTGCGCAATTTCTCTTCCTCTTGCTCTCTTAATTTCCTTTCCTCGCTCAATTTGGCTTCGAGTTTCTCTTTTTCCTCTCGTCGCTTCAGCTCCTCTCGCTTCTCGAGCTCGACCAATCGCCGAGTTTCTTCCTCGACTCTTCGCTTTTCTTCCTCTTCCTCGCGTTGCAGTTCATCGATTGAAGGTAGATTAGGCGTAGGAAGAGGCTTCACGGGGGGTTCGTTTAAATGGAAAGCGAATCCCCCTGGTTTCGGGGGTTCGATTGTGGGTTCGGGGAAGGTCTGGAATATGTTGGTTGGTTTGGAAACGAAATCGGTTTGATCGACTGGCGTTGGTTGAAATTGAGACGAGAATATGTTAGTTGAAGGTGGAGTTTTCTGGATCTTGAAAATGCTTTCGGATTGCTTGGTTTGCGGAGCGAATATGCTTGAGGTTTTCGGTGCTTTATCAGCGAACGAAAACGGCTCGGATTTTTCTTTCTGGGCGAAAACAAATTGGTTGTCGTTGTCTTTTTCTTTGTAAATAACATCGGGTTTCTCTTTGGGTTGGAATCCGAATGGATATTTCTCTTTTTCCGCATGAAATGCGGATTTATCCTCGCTGAGTCCGAACGAAAATTTAGCAGTTTTCTCTTCTTTCATTTCACTGTCGCTTTCCGTTTTGGATTCATCGAGCTCTTCGAGCAGCTTGAGTTTTACCCTTTCCAAATCCATTTCGTCCAGAATATCCTTGTTAATCAAATATCCTTTCTCATCGAAACTGGTTTGAACGGTATGACTTAGGTAAGTTTTCGGGGGTAGATCCTTACCGCAGACGATCCTTCCAACGGAGCACTCCCTTTTATCTTCCACTACGTTCGATCTGTCGAGTACATAGGGGAATTCGGGCGAGAAAAAGCCGTTTTTCTCTAAAATTATATGCGTACCGCTATCGTTTACAGACAATCCGTAATATTGCAAGAAATCAACGGTGAGTTCGAAGTCATCGAACGCCAAAATGCTTTGTAGCTCGGCTAATGGATACGCGGTTTTAGACGCCCTAGGTATGTAACATTTCAACAGAGTTTTAACCGCCATTATGCGAACTTGTATGAAATATCTCATTAAAATGCAAGCGTTTAAATAAGTGGTGGAATTCACCAATTTGAAAAATTGAACGTAGTTGTTCTTGTCAATAGCCGAATGCACTTGGAGCGCAAACATTACCTCCTTTGATTTCTTGATTTCCGGCCTCAACTGTTGAACCTACAAAGAACCAACAATTTACAATAGCTCAAAATATCCAACACCATCTTACCTCCCACATGAAATTCCCATCGTTTAAATTGAGCAATATGATGTAAGCCCTGAACTCGGCCTCGTTCTCGCAGCTTTGGCCCTTCAGTTGCAAATCGTGGTACATGTACTTGAGGGTCTGCAGACACTTGGTGAGATTCTCCGTGTTGATTTTGTGATCGAACACCGCCGGATCTTCGGCGACCAGCCTGGCAGAGCAATGAATGTGAAACCTGGCGCACTGTTCGACCAACTCGACGGCTCCCTGGCTGCACGATTCCTGCTGGGTGATGTCTTTGCGGATGCCTCGGGTTCGATCCCACAGGAAGTGGTACCACTCCCCGATGTGTACCTAACGGGTAAAGAGTTTTAGATGTTGCTCGTTGATTTTAGGCGGGTTTTACTTCATCGGTATCGCAGAGATCGATGATGTTGTGGAGTAAATAACCCATAGTCATTTGAAGTACGTTCACGGGCCTCAGTTCATGGGACAAAGGGGCTTCTTGGTCGGCGGAACTCCTCGAATACTGTTTGATGGCTTTGTTGTAGTTCATGGTTTTGTTGTTGTCGTCTTGTTCGTACCAAGCTACCTAAATTAGATACCAAATGTAGGTGAATTCGATTAAATTAAAGGTGTAGTTACTTGGTGTTTAATTTCCCGGAAAAATCGTTCTTTCTCTGGGCACATGTCGGGGCAGGTTCCGATTGTCGGGCCCGATTTAGCCGTCGGGAATTTCTTTAAATTGATTTTGATTAGTTTGTCTCGAGCGTCGAGTATTTTAAATTTGTCTTCATTGGTTAGAGCTTGAGACAATACTAAATTGATAAGTTCCACTTCCTCTTCGGATATCTTCGAATTTAAGCTGAAATGTAAAAATTTTAAATTGTGGTATAATTGATTAGGTAAAATAAATGATTACTTTTGCTTTTGTTGTTTAACGCCTTTTTTGAGTGTATTAGTAGCATCTTTTTTCCACGTTCTGTTGAGTTTGGGTTTTGGGTCCAATTTTGCTTCAGGTAAAGGCCCGAAAGCAGCTGAAAATGTCGGAATTGAAAGACATACAAGCGTACTTTAGATTTGAATGTACCTTCTAAACTTTTAAATTCTTTGGGAGCTATTCCGGACATGGCTTCCAATTCAGCTTCGATTTCATCCCTGTCTACCCATACAGGGTCTTTTTTCGCATTAGCCTTCATGGCCGGATTGGATTTTTGTTCGGAAGGATGTCCCAAAACTACAAACGTTCTATCCCTGTATTCGCCTGCATTATTCAAGGCCTTCAAGTAGCCTTCTTGATTCGCATATTCGACCGTGCAAGTCCTTAAGGCCGGCCTAAATTGGAGCCTTTTCAGTTTTCCGAACTGCTTAAAATAAGCTTTGGCTATGTTTTTGTCTATATAAAATTCCGGTGGGTATTCTTGGCAACTAGAAAAAAACCTAAATGTAAAAACCTGAACTTTGAGAAACTTCTCGGAGAGTTTACGTTATTTTGTATGGACCGGCATCCATTACGACACAAAAATCGATTGAGTACTTTCTCTTAAAACTAAACAACGCAAATATACACAATAAAGACAACACAACACAATTATACTGCAACGGGAATTGGCGTTTAAAAATTGAGGTTATACTCCACTTCTTTTCTAAAAATGTGGCCTCGTTTTTTTGGCCTATTCAGTTAGGACTGGTGATACGAATAATTCATATTTTTTTCTCTACAACTACTAAACTCTTACTAAAATTAATATTTTAATTATAATTGTTGTTTTACAGCGACAATACAAACATTTTCTAAAGTGATATCCTTATCAACGTAATAATGCAAGTAACATTTAAATCCGCATTGCTCGAGAAAATGCAGCCGGCCCCAATTTAATACGTTTTTACTCCTTCTACCGACCTCCTCTTTCTCAAGCCTCGAAAGCCCTATCTGCGCGTCCCTTTCGTTCTGTTTCATCTCGGATTCCTTCACTTCCTTATTCATCTCCCTGCTCAATCCCGTGCCGCAGGTAGCCCAGCTGGCCATGCCGCACATTATATCGAAGTCCTGCTTGCTTAGGCCTTGTTGTTTGAAGAATTCTTTTCCCGTGTAAGGGACCCATCTGGGAATAATGAAATTTGTTGAATTGAGTGTGATTTGGGCGGTGATGATTGTCTCACCTGCATCGATGGTGACAGCAAAATGTTAAGATGCACCCGTTTACTTTGTCTCGATTGTCTTGCACGTTACCCAAACATCGAATAGCTAAATCGGTTGCTTCGCCGCATAAATGCTTTGTTACCCCAACAACGGATGAACTTTTCAAAACTTGCTCGAGTTTATCTAAAGAAATGGTTCATTTTTAATCTACTGCTATGAATTGGTTTAATAGAGCAGGATTTACCTAGCACAATATCGGAAATATCCGCCCTTATCCTGCTGACTTTATCCGTTGTCTTGGCTAGTTTGTTGTCTTTTTTATGCTTAGGTGAGGCTCGTTCGATGAGTAGTATTTTTGAATCTTCATCGTCAATTGTACTAGCTAGCCAGAAGCTCAATTGGCCTCTTCCTGCGCCGAATTCAATGTAACAAGTATTACGTTTCATTAAATTGTAATCGCCCAGGAGGCCCAGTATCGAAGACACTTGCTCTAAATGCTTCTTGGTTTTAAACCCGTAATCCGGCTTTTGCATTTCTTGTTCTGAAAGAAAGAATTATCTGCTTCAATTTTTACGTGTGCGCTCCAAAAACATTCCAAAGCATTTACCTAAAAATTTATTCGTAGAAATTTTCTGCGATAGGTTCTTTTGAATTACGTTGGTAAATGTATCGTTTACTTTAGTGATAGTTTTGCGTATATCTTCAGTCGGAAAACTAGATAGTAGCCTGTACGTGTTGTCTTCTTCAGCAGCGGATTGATCGGTGTTGATGCCTTTCGAAATGAACGGTTCTAAAGGTTTCGGCCGTGCGTTGCATATCTTCAGGTGCTTTTTTAAATTGTGAGCGTAGCAAGTGTGGTTCCCATCCAAGGGGCAAGCGATCCGCACTGCGGAATCTTTACTCGCTTCGTTGCTCGGTACGAAATCCGTGCTGATTTTTTTATGTTCGCCGCAGTACTCCTCGCCTTCTTTGACCGTCATCTTGCAGAAACGCTTCTTCCTGTGCACGAAAAACTTGCAGTTGTTAGTAACATGCTCGGACATTTTTGGTCTCTTCGATTGAGAGACGGGGTCGTCTTCTAAAGGTACAACAGTGGGATTTTCTTCCATTGTGTTTCTGTGGTTTTCCTACTAATATGTAAACTTAGAAAACTAATTCAAAATGATTAAAAATTAACACTTTTGTGGAAGTGAAATAGTAAGGTTAAGTTAAGTATCATTTGTCATTTTTTGAGTACAGTTTCCTGTAATTATAAGCTAATGATAGTAACGAATCCCCAGTGTTGCCAAATCTCATTCGGGTGAAAATTGATGCAAAATAAACTAAAATGTTTTTTCTAGACAATATACTAATGAAACAGACTAAAAATAAAGTTAAAAATACACTTTATTCGTTAAAAATAAATAGTCAATTGCACATGTTGAATAAAAATCGACATTTTATAAAAACGTCATTTAAAATTTACGAGGGCTGGATGCCCCATTTGGCGTATTCGTATTCAATATAAATGTTCACTAGCATGATGAGGCTCAATGAAAAGCAAAATAGAGCACAAAAACTATACACGTCATGTAACGTGCCGTTTCCCGTCAAATTCTCGTATTTATCCTCCACGTTCTTCTTTATTAATTCGAATTTCAGCAGAAATCTCTCCCTAAAAGATAAGCAGTTATTTATAGGAAGAATTAATTTTTATTTATAATATACTTTAGTGGCAACTTCGATATATCAATTTCTTTTGCCGCGTCTTCCTCAGGTTGAGGGGCTACCGCAGGACAAACCGCTTCGGTTTCTGTATCAGATATAATATCAGTTTCATGTAGTAATTCCATTTCCATGCAACCTTCCTTAATTTCCACTAAATCACCGCCTAAACTGAAAAAGAAACCGCGAAAATCGAATAAATCAACAATAGATAATGGCCCGTATTCAGCGCCTCACTTTTACCTTAAACATGACTCTAAGGGTCACTTTAAGGGCATAACTTACTCTAATCTGATGGGTCTGTTCAATCTATTATTAGAAGCGGCGTTCCTCAACGACAAATCCGACGTCCTCCTGATGATCTTCTTATTCTCCACAAACGTTTGATTCTCGCTAGGTTGTTCGTTAAACGTCGATATACTCGCCCTCCTTTGGCTGATGATTTTCCTGTTAGCGACCGGAGGCAATATCCCTCCGCTTTTAGTCGGGCTCACCGGCGAATTGGCGGAGTTCTGCAGCACCCTCCTGCGACACGACACCCGAATAAATCACCCCACATACATTCCCGACTCTATGCACTCACTTGGTGTATTGCAATTGCCTCCTGGAAGCGTCCCTTTGCTGCTTCAACATCTGCACGTGGCTGACCATCAACCCCACCGATTCCGTCAGTCTTTCTTCGTGCTGCACGGACCCGAACCGTTCGGCCGTCATCGACACCATGGACACCGCGTTCATGATGGTATCTAACTGAAATAAGGCGCCGGGTGTGTGAGAAAAGCGGGTGTAGGCGCGATAGGAGCGAATACCTGCGTGACTATGGTGGAGAACAGCTCGGCCTTTTCGTAGTCGGTGCAGAGGGGCTGCATCAACGTCAGCCTCTCGCGCAGCTTCTCCATTTCGGCGCCGAGATTCGCCTCGGTTTGGTCGCGGGACCGCTTCTGGCGCTGGCATCTGTCTTTGATGGTGGCCGCGTCTATGCTGAAGGCCAGCGCTAGGCTGGTGAATTTCTGCTCCAGTTCCTCCTCGCTCATACGTTCCCTGTAAATAGGATCTTCACTATCAACTAGATCTGAGGAGGTGATGCAGAATCAAGCAAAGAGTTCCTAAAGTGAAGGCCATATTTTCTAGTGTCCAGTCAATAACAATGGAAGAAGATACAGTCGAGATTTAATGGGTTCGCAGTGGGGAGTCTGTTTAAATATTTTTATAGTCGAATGCGAAGCTATTCTATTTATTGATCGTCGAACGAGCAGTACCTTGACCTTTGTTGGTCGATTATCAATTCAAATGTAACGTTGCCGAGCGTATAATGTCGAATTTGAAGCGTTTGGACAGAAAGATTGGGGAAAAGCTGAGAGTCTAGGAAGGATGATGATGGGTGATGGACGTGGAAGTGGGTCAAACGAATAAATCCTGCCATAATAGACGGTCGCAGTTGCGACAGAATAGTTATAATTTTGGTAACACCAAAAGCGAGAGATTAATGATGAATATTTATGGTAGATTGCGATATTATTTAGATGGTCTGTGTTTGTGAATTCAAGCGACTAACCTTGAATACCTGCCGGCAACTATAACAAGACAAATAACAATGAATTTTCAAATTTCGCATGCACAAAGGAATATGTAGCTTGTTGCATAAATATGGCATAATGGCGTGGAGTATGAATGAAGCGAAAAACGGGCAATTAGCATTAGAAAACGGAAACGGCACCTAAAAAATGCCGATACTTTACAAGTTTGAGGTCAGGATTTTTGTTATTTCGAGCAAAGGAAAAGATAAGAAAGTCAAGCGGGTTCACAAAACAACGATAATTCAATATTATACACTCAATTTCGAGCGTTTATACGCGGAGGGTACGCTCTGAAAGATTACCCCGTATCATCTTGTCGGAATATTTTGAGTAATTTTAACGGAGACAAATAAATTGTGTATATTGCGCAACCCGATTTCCGATAAACGCGCCAATAATAGACCTAATTGAATTGTAACGTACAAAAAAATGCAAATATTTTTTGTGATAAATTCGAATCGATTTTCGAGCCAAATTTACATACATAAATAAACGCAGAAAACCGGCTTCTGTTAGAAAATTTAGGACAATGCAAGCATTACTGAAATAATAAACTTGTCTGTAACAGCATGACAATATTAAGGTCACGACCATACGCAGATCCAATATCTCCGCACTGTTGTGGATTTGTAAATTAATTAATAATTAACGACATTTTTTTCTTTTATCAGCGCTGATTAAACGAACGTTTAATCAATTTAATCGACCATTACAAACTTATGCTAAATTAGAAGAGAATTCATTCGATACATTCTAGATTAAACTGGAAATACCACCTCTATGTGAGCAAGAAAATTCTGATTCAATATATTACCCCTATTAGAAATTATACTTATTTCCAAACAAGTACCTCAAAATTCTATAACAGTCATGTTAATCTGTCAATGTCAATGAAATCTGTCAATTTTGACAACCAAGGCTAAGTAGATACTTTTGGTGTTGAACAAAAATCACCGAATTTTTCATCAATGTCAGATTTGACAAGCAAGGCTATTTTAAAATTAGGAGAATAAAAAATGATTAGAGAAATGTAAAAATCATTACCTGGGTCCATCGCCTCTGAGACCCAACTTCTCCAATACCGAATTGGGCAAGCTGGGAAAAACCTCGAAATTCGCATCGTCGTCTTTCAACTTCCTGGCTTCACCGTCGGACATCGATCGTCCTTTGAGTTTGTACAACTGCAATCAAATAAAAAAATATCACTTAATACACATGTATCGATTCTATGTATCAATAAGCATCATTTATACGCAGAAATGAGTTTAAAACGGTCGTAACTTATTTTCGACAAGTTGGCCATGAATGACAAACATTACGTTGGCAACACTGGTAGTAAAATAGTTCCTGTCAATTTTGACAAGTTTTTAAGTAAATGTGCATGTAGTTGAAGTTAATTACTAGTTAACAAGTGTTGCGTCAGAACTATTAAAGGTATGTGAATTTAATTTTTTTTGTTTTAAAGTTTAAGAAAATATGCATTCGGAAATAATGTGGATTATTTTGTCTGGAAATCTGGCGTATTTTTTTGTTAAACATATGTTAAATTCCTGGTAAATATTCGTTACAATATAATTGTAACAACGATGATCAAAAGAATCAAAAATCGTTTGGATAATTTTGCTAATTGAATCCGAATACATACAGGACTCTATTTATAGGTAAACGTTTACTTTTTCATTCTGTGCGATTATTTATTCATAATGATTTATTAATGTTTTGGATATTATTAAATATCACTCTTTCAACTATTAAAAATATCAACAATACTATTTTTTTCAAATCGCTAATAAAATAAACCAAAATTAAACTCCGGTCTATAATATATTTATGTACATGTTTTTTATACAATGTTTAAATATCATATAAAGTTGAAAAAAATATGATTTGCCTGTAAACATATTATGATATAAAAAAACCAAAATGTACCTAAATTTCAAGGGTTTATTACCTATTAAGTTTAACGGAATTAATATTAGTAAAGCACCAGATGCGAATAAATGCCAATAAATCGATATCGAACATCAAATATTTTTAATAGGACTCGTAAAACCGAAGGTAAAAGTTTTCTTTTCCTCACCGAATTATTAATAGACTAATGCTGATTATTCGGTATGAATTAGATAGAATAAACCGTTTTTGTATACAACATCTATTTTCAGAATTCCAAACTTACCAATACCGAAAATTTTGTTTTAAAAAACACAAAAAAAATAAATTACAGGAAACGAAACTATTTATTCACGTATAGAAACAATCCTTTAAATTAGATTTTAACATATAAATGTCACAAAAAAATTAAAAGTGATATATTCCAGTGGCGTATCCACTTGTAAAATTAAATAAACAGTCAAGAAATTGAATTATTTTCCGCCCTATTACATGTACATATGTAGTGCTCAATTATAGTTGGTATGTACATAAATTTCACGTAAATGCTACTTGAAATTAATAACGCTAAGTATAGTATAATTAGATAAACAGCAGTTTTCGACCGGAACTTCAACCACATATTAAATCGAAATTCTCTTACTGATTAGGTAGAGGTTTCGCATAGAGCAATAAAAAAGGGTCCATTAAAAATAGAAACTCGTCTATTAAATGTAAAAAAATGCGATTTGTACGCAAATACACATCCTCCGGGTTGTCTAACGTGCAATTAATTTTTCCATACAACAATAGACAAATTATCGAAAAAATAACGCATTTAAATCGCAATGTAATCGCGTTATCTAATTTAGCGAGCTTCGAACATTAATTAACATACTCGGATACATGTTGTTGTCGTTATTTTCGTCATTTTTTTGTTAATTATTATCGATTAACATTATCGAAACAAACAAGACCGAGTAACTTTTCGAATTGTTGCTGGATATGTTTTTGTTTTAACGAGTTTATAGGTTTTAAATATCAATAATATTTCAATGCATCGACTAAAAAAAGCGCGATCTTTGGATTTATAATGTAGATATTAAATTATCAGCAATTTAGCGTAATTAAATGCACGTGTTAAAGCGTGCATAGAAGGGGGAAGTGCCCCGAAATTCCCCAAAATAACGCCCCTACCAGAATTCTACACCGTAGAATAAGAGTAGTAGATTCAGAGTGGAGTAGATTCAGAGAGGAGTAGATTCAGAGTTAAACAGATTCAGAGTAAAAAAAATAAATTAATCAGCAGAATGATATGAAAATAACGCTTATTTTGTAACATTTGTTACCGCACCTCTATACCATTAAAATGATTCCCACCTTTATTAAACTTCTGTCATGATGTGTCATTTATCTCAATTTTGACAGTTTTTGTTTAAGTATTATCATCGAACGCATCTTAAAATCCGATAAATTCCGATAAATTCGACGCGGAGTTCCGGTGCGCCCGAAAAGGGTTTTGAGGAATTAATTGGGGTAATTTTAATTGCGGTGTAATTAGAAATCGTTGTAAACATTCCGCGCTCCATTCGGATCGATCATTGACTCGATACTTTGATATGACTCAGTTTTTTTCTTCTTTATTGTTGCACTCTTGACCACATTTGGTATGTTTCGTTTGTCCGGTTTGGACGGTTTTTTTTTTTATTTAAAATTGTCGCCTTCCGCGTGTCTAGGCATACAATAAACATACGCAACAAAAAAACCAGAATATATTCAGCTTTCATTATTTTTTTTACCTATTATCTTGTTATCTAACCAACAGATTTTGTGTTGATTTTTTTTATTTAGTTTATTACAGTACTTTTTGTACTTTATAGATTTAATTTTCTGTAAAGTCCAGTGAAATTTCTGTGGCATTTAAACGTAAAAATTGCTTATATTTTTCTATGATCGTTTGATAAACTACCTAAACCTACCTTTAGCATTGAAATTAACATAGATAAGTAAAGTAAAATTATTAGGTGTGAAAATTTTCGCTTACGGTTAATCAATTAGCATATTTTTTTAATTTTATAGGAGGTAATTTGTCAATTTACTACTGTTAGAATTGAATATTAATCAGTAGAGTGTTTTAGGAGCTTGTAGGAGAGTAAAGAACCGCAATTTTAATTTGTTTAGTTAGAAAATAACTTGTGAAATAAAAAAAATACATGTAATTTAATTTAGGGTAATTTCACAAACTGTCTCGCATATCGATGTGTAACTAATAAATATTGGGGCTCCCCGTTTTCCCGAGTACTCCATTAAATTTGCTTTTAAATTATACAAGGCATAATGACATGTAAAAAAACCGATAATTTTTTCCCCATTATGAAACCTATACATTACAATTATACTTATGGATTTAATTATGATTGCATGTAGTTACGATGGATAATTACAATCAAGAATACTGTTAATGTTCAATCATCAATTTAATAAGTTTTGCAACAGATTGCAATTTTATACGAATATAAGGGTTAACGATTTAAATTATTATAAGGAAGAAAAAACTGAAAAGAAAGTGTTACATACTGCTCGTTTATCTTCGACTTTCTTCCCCATATCTTGCAGGGATGTTTTCCTCTCTAATTTCGAACTTTCCTCGCTCGAATCCGACTGGCAATCCGAAACACTGGATAGGGACACTTGCGAGACCTTCCGGAGCTTCATCGGCAAACCATTCGCCGTGTTGTTGTTAATTTCCGGGTTCATTTTATTGCCCGAGACCGCCTCGTTCACGCTCTAACCGGGACTTTCTTACCGCGAACGAGCGCCGCTCTTTTTAATTGAATATTTATGTAAGCGAGCTTATCGAGCTGTAGCGCGCGCGTTTTGATATTCGCGGAGAATGCTGAACGTTCGAAGTATTTGTAATTTGTAACAGTTGTACTGTAAATATCGGTGTATCCCCAATCCCCACTCGCCGATCGTCAGCTGTTCGACGATGCCCCCCAAAAGTTTCGGGTTCATAATAAATGGGTTTTGTTTATACTTACGTGTACATTTCCGTGCGCTGTTCGTGATTGTTTGTTCGCAAATTACGGCATTTTCTTCCATTATTTGATTATTTTTATTTATTAAATTCGATGTTCGAAAAATTTATAAACAAAAATTTGACAGTTCGGGTAATCTAGCAATCAATCATCTGATATCTGTCAACCTGGCCTTTGACTATATTGGTTGTACAGTAACTTAATTATTTAATAATTTAATACGTTTTATTGATGGGATATAGTTAGAATATCATCTTACATTTCTAATAACAATAATTTAAATAGTTGTTTAAGAGAAATTTTCCCTGTGGTTCATACGAACCGGATGTGACAAACGAAATGGCCTATAATGTTACCAACATAATAGCGTGAAACTCGCATAAAAATGAAACATCAATTTTTTGACACTTGCTTCTTATACTTGAAGGAGGGACAACTTGATTTTCTTCCTTTTTTTTTGTTAAATTAGGCCGATATTTATAATTTTAATAAGGAATAAACTAAAATAGTGTTTTAAGTACAATCATGGATAACAATTATATCCAAATAAAGGACATGCGTCCTGGTTTAAAAAATGTAAACGTTGTGTTTATCGTATTAGAAGTCGGCCATCCTACTCTAACTAAAGAAAACCGCGAAGTTCGAACTTTTAAAGTGGCCGATCAAAGTGCTTGTATAAACGCTAGTATTTGGGACGAGGCTGGGCAGCTCCTCGTCCCCGGTGACATAGTTAAGCTAACGAAAGGGTACGTATCTGTGTGGAGAAATTGCCTAACGTTGTACACGTCCAAAGGGGGAGATTTGCAAAAAATCGGTGAGTTCTGCATGGTGTTCAATGAACAGCTGAATATGAGTGAACCAAATCAAATATTACCTCAATTGCCGCCCGGCGTTGCGAATAGTCTGCCTATGAATAACGGTACGAATAACTCGGCTGGGCGAGTGGGCGCGGGGCCCCCACAACCGCCGGTCACTACGGTGCCTATGGCGGTGCCCCTGCAGCACAATAACGTGGCCGGCCCGGCGAAAACCACACCAAATAGTAACGCATCCAGATCGACGGGAAACGGGCCCCCTCCGGACAACCAAAAACGCCAAAGAGGACAAAGAGGCGGCCAGCATAGAACTAGACCTAAATAAATAGATGACAACTATTTCAATCTTTTATTAAATGGAATTTGTGATAAAATTTGTATTTCGAACTCAAATTTTGTAAATAATGTAATATAATTTTTATACAGTTTGACAATGCTTTCCCAATTTACATACACATATATGCGTATCGTAAAGCATCACCTTCGAAATAAATAGTTTTTTATTATTAACGAATAACAAACAGTACGTAAAAAAAAAGATAAATTTCATAATAAAACACATAAAACAAATATTTGAAAGCTCTCAAATTTTTTCGAGTATTTTTCGCAAAATTAGCAGTAAAAATAAATATCGATAAATGCAATATGCAATAGTACTAAACGACACATAGGTGCATACACATTTTTAACAATTATATAATAAAAAAAAACAGTCTAACAGACATACCTGCACAACTCGAGGAAGTTTTATTTTGTTTCAAGTTAAACATGCATACTAATAAATTGGCACGCTACAACAATATAAATACAAATTACTCCAAGTAAATACGGGGCGTTTTACTAACATGTAAAAAGTTTAAACTAACGTTAGGAAGTAACATCGGAAGCTTTAATAAATATCGAGTCGATTAGTCCTTGCGACATTTTCACAAATAAGTGATTTGTTAACATCAATTTATCATTATATCGTTACATTCAAATCGATGATGCTCCGCGAATCATCCGGCAATGGAATTAATCCTTTACTTTAACGTACGATTGAAGAACATAGATTGATAGGGGGCTAGTAAGAAATTCCAGTTGGACACCTAATTGCAAAAATTCAACGCCCAATTGAAATTTCCAATATACTATACTATAATTCAAAAATTGCAACAATTTTACTAGAGATACACAGTATCAACTTATCAGTGTAAAAAAATATTAAATACAGTAGAAACTACGACAACTCGAAAGCATTTCGTTTAAAAACCTTCAATATGAAGTCGTTCGCCTAAACTCTTAATCTAAACAGTTTTCATGCACGAATTCGGAGAATGAATCGTTTTTAACGAACACAAAGTTCACCGAAATTTTTATAATATCGTCGCCCCTCAAAATAGCCTGAGACAAACGGGTTCCGGAAAAGTTTAAAGCAAGGATTATTTATTAGAATTTCAACGTTTCTAAGACTTTTTTTCATTCAGAACGATAAATTCATCATTTTTGATAATTCTTGTAGTGTGATATGTTTTTTCTCCTAAAGCTATTTGGTTTTTGGGCTGTTGTCTTGGGCTATTTTGACGGGCACCATTAAATATACAATTATTGTATTCTAGAAAAAGATGCTTCTATAATGTACACAAAAGTTACGTTTCCACAAATTTTCATTTAGTTAAAAATTAATCATTACTCTTTTTGTTACTTTGAGTAAAAATTTATTTGGATATAAAACCGAAAATATATATCTCAAGTACGTTCTAAATTCTTAGATCCAACTAAGAAAAGTGAAGTACCAATATAAAGCCACTCAACGTTTTTTTTGCTCGAATAATAAATATCGACATTTAACGCGCAATTTTCAATCAAAATAGGAACTACACATTATTATAGATCTTCTTAACAACGACGACAATTCCTAATGGAAATCAATAAATAAATTTTTGACATCAATCCGTTTCGCAATCACTCCTGCTCTCCTAATCACCTCGCACATTAGGTCAGAAATCGAATCGTTTCCACTCGAAAAAAATAACAAAAAAAATCCAATCCAGCTCGCACAAAATCGCCTACGACTTGGGAAACATCGACAAAATAGCCGCGCAGATCTTCTGCGGATTCGTCTCGTCCGGATACATCTGCATCGCCTGCGACACCTGCTCTTCGGGAAAGATCGCCGCCAAATGGTAGTGCAACTTCCTGCGCGTGTCCTCCTGCACCGAGGAATTCGCCAAATGATGCGACCCGCCCTGCGACCAAGCCGCCGGCCAAACGTTCAACTGCGTATCCGAGCAGCTCGATATCCTCTGCATATGCCTACAAAAAACAAACCATTACAAATACTACGCGATAGGGAGTAATAAAAAAATACCTGTGCTGGAGGTGCTGCTGCGGCGGCCAAGGCCTGTACGAATCCGGCGCCGAGGCGATTCGAGTCACGTGCTGGTGCACGTCCCAACCGGGCGGCGCGTTCATGTACCCCACGGCGATCTGCTGCCCGTGCGCGGGCGCCGGCGCGGCGTAGCGCACGCCCAATCGGGGATCAGCGTTCGGATTCAACGTCAACTGGCGCTGGAGCTTCTTGTGCAGATTGTCCGGCGCCGGTTGGGGCGCGTACGAAGCGCCCACGTTATCGACGCTGCGGCTCTTCGACACGACGGCGTGCTGGGGCTCCTTCGGCGGCGGCACGTTCGAACGCGTCCTGCCCAACGGCGTTTTGCGCGTGTCCCCCTCGCGCGCCTGTCAAAATATACACACAATCAGCTACAATGTTAACGGCGTTTTTTATTCGCAATTTACTTGTAGATGCCTTTGGGCGTGCTCGGATAATCGTTCGGTGACGCTCTTGTGCGGCAGTGGGCCCCTCTCCGGATGGTGGTACTTGCACTTGTTGCCGTAGGTGCATTTTTTGGCGTAGGGACAGGGCGGCGGCGGATCGCCCTTCTTCTGCTGGCACTTGAGGAAGCTGTCCAACGTGGGGCCCGATCGACCGAGCGGATCGTCCGGCGGCATGAAGTGATCGTTGACGAACGAATACATCAGTATGCGCTCTTCGACCACCTTCCGGAACTCCGCGTTCTCCTGGCACAGGTCGCGGTAGTTGTCGTTGCTCACGACGATCCCGTCGGTTTGCGCGGCTAATTTTAATATGTACCTACGGACAGAATTTATAAATAAACTCCGATGAGTTAGAGCGCTTTCTTACTGACCTATCGTCGTAGCACACCATCCTCTTGCCGCCGACTAATCGAGATGGGGTGAAGACTAACAGCCTGTCTTTTTCGAGCTCGGCTAGGATGTCTTGGTCGCGTATCAGATTGTCCGGTCTCGGCGATTCCTTCCTCCATTTCGGCACGAATACGGTGATGTCTTTGTGACCGCGCGACTTGAACCAATCCACGCAAATCTTTATGCCCCGACACGAGAATATCTCCTTGTTACCGTGACTGAAACACACACATACGCAAACGTTCAAATTTGATGGCACAGAAGATCCTCTAGGCTGACCCCGAGCGAGGGTACCTTTCGAGGAAGCTCTTGCGGTGGAAGAATTTACCTCATGGCGACGTTGCTGCCGTCGACGACGATGGGTCGCAGCGTCTGCGGCCCGTCGACGGGCTCGTGGTGAAAGGGGGAGACGTCCAAGGCGCCGTCGGAGGGGCTGCTGTCGCAGGAGCTGCCCTTCTGGGCGCCCAGTTTGATCAGCTCGGCCAGCAGTTCGTTCTGCGACGGCGACGGGCCCAATTTCTGCAGCGCCGCCTGCACCAGCTTCTCCGTGTAGCCCAACTTCAAGGCGAATTCGACCCTGCGAAAAATGGAAAGCGCCTTCGGTGAGAGAGTTTTCGGGATTTGCGTTTTGCGAAAACTGTTTATCAATGACGTGCATATATAATTTCACAATTTAGTTAGATCCGTTTTGTATATTAATGTCGTAGATTACGCGTTGGCTATTTGACCTTAGTATTTTTATCAACTTATCAATCGCCTTCGATGTATTATGCATGCGGTTCGGCTGCTTCGGTTGAGGTAGAGTTAATGGGCCTTTTACCTGGTGGTGTATGCGGCCGATATTTCCGGCGCCGTTTGAACGTACTCGTCGTATTCGGCGGCCAGTGTGTCGCTGGTGGTGCGCGAGACATCCTGGTGTCCGGCCGGCGCCGCGTCCGCTTCGTAGTCCGAATCGTAGCTGGAATCCTCTCCGGGTACCGCTCCGGTGCATCCCTCCACGCAGATTTCGTCTACATATTTCTGCGGAAAAAAATATACAAATGCAATTATGGAGCGTATGAAATTTTCTACATTATGTTGCGATTGTTTTCTAGATTTGCATGGAGTTTTCAAAATGAGGATGATTTGATTGCGTTTGTAGATTAGAGTTGTCGAAATGAGGGTGATTTGATTGCATTAGTTTAGATTAGAATTGTCAATATGGGAAGATTTTATTGTATTTGTAGATTATAGTTGTCAAAATTGGGAAGATTTGATTTCATTTGTCGATAATTGTTCTCAAAAAGGGGGAAATTTGATTGCCAGTTTGATGGATTGATTGTTTGCTATATATTGATTTGTAGATCAAAGTTGTCAAATATATGGATTTGTTTTAAAGTTACTAGCATTAGTAGAAATGGGTAAAAATATTCTATCAAAACCGTCGCAAATAATAGAGGAGAAAAATGATTTATAATACAGTAAAATTTCACTTTCTATTTAGAAGCTACGTCTGTCTGTTCGTTATTGTTAATTTCACTTTCTCCTTTGTTCGATAATTAAAATGAGTCGAAATAAATCGGAGCTTCTTCCAGGATGTAGAAAGAGAAACTCGACGAAAGCGCGTACGCCGTCGCTTCGATTAAATTAAATTCCGATTTTTTTTTCGTTACTCGAGAGGTTTCGATCTAATTTCGTGCGGATTTTTCCAACCGAAATAGAAATCGAGAGAATTCATAATTTAATAATTGCGAATTATCGGCGCGTCACGAGCCAAGGAGAGTCGCCGAAATAAAAAAAACAACAACTTAAACCGACTATTGCCGAGTATCGACCTTCAAAAGCTACAATAATACGAAGTTCCGGATGTTGTAAAAGATCGCTTTTTTTTTCTTCGCTCAAATCAATTATACTGTACCCTATTCGAGCTAAAAATGCAGCTCAAATTATTTCAATTAAAAGCAGTTTTTTAGTAACAATTTTGCGTTGATTTAACGACGATTTATTTGCCGTGAATTGGTAAATAAAATAAATTCTACCTGTCCAATAATTGTCATATCTCAAACGACCGTCCAGGCGCAAACCACCTCCGAAACACCCCGTGGAATCCCCGGCAACATATCACAACAAATCACCCAGGTATTTTACCGGAAAAAAATTACACAAACTCGCACACACACAAACAGAGAATCGATCACACGCGTAAATCCTCTAACCGGATGTTTACCCGAGTTTCGCGTGTCCGCAAAAGCGAATGCACCGTCGAATACGGCACGATAAAGTCGCGAGCGGCGCGGAGAGAGGACGAGAGGCGAGAAATTCGGCCCGACTCCGATGCCCCCGTCGAATTCGATTCGAGGCGAATGGGAAAAAATATGTATATGGATGTAAAATTAACGAGACGCGGTGATTTCGCTCCGTTATCTCGCGATAATATGCACGAGGCGCGCTCGGTTTTCCCGGAGCGAAACAATTTCGCCCGCAATCGGTTTCTTTCTCTTGGGAAAATCGGAGGGTTTAGGTGGAAAAACCGCGCCGGGGAATTCGCGAGACGTGGTGATTGTTATAAAACCTTCTTGAAGCAGTAAATCCAATCAATAACTCGCATTATCGATCAATTAAGACCACAAGATACGAGTTATACTCCGTTCACCATGAGGAGATAGTAATAAAACCTTCTCGAAGCAGTAAATCCAATCAATAACTCGCATTATCGATCAATTAAGATCACAAGATATGAGTTATACTCCCTTCACCATAAGGAGATAGTAAGAAAACCTTCTTGAAGCAGTAAATCCAATCAATAACTCGCATTATCGATCACTTGAGAGCGAATGGAGTATAACGAATACCTTCTCTCGATCTACTTATGGCAGTAATTAGGATCCCATCGTATACTGCAAATGCCCTGCTCTTCCCAACAGCCCCTTTCGTTCCTATCTTTTGATATAGCAGAGTATAAGTATTCACTATAGCCTGTTGGCGAACGGAGTATAGTGTTATGAAAAATACGGGAGTTCGGCGACCGATGTAAATATCAAACCGAGCGCTGTTCGCTGTGCATTTTAATTATAAGCAGGACCGATGCCTTGCCGATCGTCCTGCGTTCGTTAAATTCGAGATTCATTGGCCGCGTATCTCTCGCTCTCTCGCCGACCCGGATCTCCGTTTCTGCGTCACGTATACGCGAGGACACCGCGACCTACCAGGTCTTAGGTTTTTTTTTTATTTTCGAAAAAATACTAACCGAAGTTCGTTTATTAATCGTCGATTATTCGACGGGTTTCGAATGCGCTTCGGCGTTTCGATTGTGTCGATGGCATGTGTGAGGTCTTCTTGAGGCCGTTTCTGAAGGGATTTTAATGTAGAACAAATTGGGTCAATTTTTATCTGATTTAAATGTTTGTTTTAGACTTTTCAACAATTTTTAAGAACTATTCAAAAATTTTTATGTATTGTGCATTTTTTTATTCGGAGTAAAATTTTCGAAGTAACAATGATAAATTTCTACAAAAAATATGCCATTCGAAGAGCAAACTTTTCCTTGCAAATTTGCACTTATCTGTATACATGTTGAATCATTTTAGTTTGCAATATAGTGTGGGTGAGATAAAGACAACTGCTATTAGACACTTATAAAGGAAAAAGAAAGAGTGATATTATGTCATTGCAACTTTTCACTCTGACAACTGTCATTTTAGCAATATCTCTTTGTTCAACTCATAGAAATGACCATATTGCAAACTGAAATGAACCAAGGTAGATATTCACCGTACCTAAAGAGTAATTAATCGATCGTATTAGGATGCTTCTTATTATAATTAACCTTCAGAATAAAATGCTCCTTTCACTACATCCTTCGTACACAAGTAAATGACAAATTTATTCCTAATCAACACCTAATTTTTATACAATTTATACGTATTAAAAAAAATTAATCTAAATACAGCCTACTTGATGTGAAATCCGTTTTCTTTCTATAAAATGATTATTATTGTTGTATAAACATTCGCGCTATTGAGTACTGAATCTGTATAGAAAATTAGATAGATATAACGAAGACGGATGCGAGTAGGTAAATGAGAACCGTGCAAAAAGTAAAAGCACCGTCCCCAATTGTGCAGGTCAAATCCGTTTATTAAAGTTTTAAAATATTTTTCGTCCTAGTGTCCTAGTTACCCGCGGAGCGATCTTTTTATATCTCACCTGCAGCCTAGTTACGAAATCCGGACTGAGGCTCCTCTGCGGGTTGTCGGGCGCGCTTATTAGCACGTCGAAGACCGACTGGTCGGCCGGCTTGTCCTGCGACAGGCACTTTTCACTCAGCACGGCCGAAAACAAGATGGAAATCCTCTCCAAGTTTTCCCTCAACAAATGTGTACACGATTGTTTTATTCGCACTGCACCGACGACTGTTCGTGACATCTTCTACTTTGGGCATCCTCCTCACATGACGGGCTGTTCTTTTAGTTTCTCTTTGTTCGGATGATAACGAGGCATATTTCGCCAGCGATTAAATACTTCAATATTTTCGATGTTTTGTTGACAACGACATTTTACAATTTATTTACGATGAAACGAAATTTACGTCAATCAGCGCCAATGACAGATCGACGGAATTTTTCTGAACTACATTTGACGTGCCTACTCAAAAGTAACCGAATAACACAATCAAATTAGTCCGCTTCAATTTAAAAATTAATTTTTATGAAAAACTATAATAAAACAAACTATTAAATTCAAAATACACTTATTATTGAATAAAATACAAAATTTACTATTTAATTTTAACACCTGTTAATATACTTCTATCGATAGGTTTAATGATAGCACCCATTTTCGTAACGACACTCGGTCGAATGAATTTTTGAAAAGCCTTTTCCGGAACAAACGTCCTTCCTATGGGAGCCCTAATGCTAGCCTCGTAGTCTTTCACGGATTTAAAAGGAAACGGAAGCTCGGAGACCAGCAGCGGTTTAATTTTAGCCTGCGCCTTCTCGTTTATAATCAAAGCTCCCTTATTGGCGTCCCTCCGGGGCACTTTCTTCGGCATTTTTATAATAAACCGCCTGTTCTTCCGCTTGTTGGGGTTGATCCCGGTACCGGCCCAGCTTCCCCATCCCGGCAGATTCAGGTCGATGTCTTTCGGCGTGTCCTTGTCGATCTCCTCGGCCTTTTCCTTTTCGAAATCCACCGCTATGTCGTCGTCTTCGAACGCTTCCATGATCAAGTCCCTCTGATCGGCCCCCTCTTCGTTTTCTTCGGTTATAGAAATATCCGGCACGGCGGTGTCGAGTTGGGATTGCTTCACTCGAATGAATTTATCGGGGTTTATGTTAACCGGTTCATCGGGCTTGTTCGCGTTCGATATGATGGATTTCAGGGCTGTTAGGTTTAAGTTCTCGCTTGCATTATCATTTACATTATCGTCGTGGTTTAATTCGCGAGGTTGCTCCAGCATTTCTTCGTCTATGATTTGTTTTTTGTTTCGTTTCGGTATTGTGAGATCGAAGGTTTGTTTAACACCTTTGGGTTTTTTGTTAGTTTTAATGTTGTTAGATTCTGGTTTGTTTTCGATTTTTTTGAGTTTTTGGTTCAGTTTCTTGTTTAATTTATCTTCAGCGATACCAAACATGTCTTGCACATCGAGGGGTTGATTTAATTGCGCTTCGATCGTACTGACTTCCCAATCGGATGTACTAGAAACGTTGTTCGATGAAGTAGATGGTGGTTTATTAGCGTTTTTATTTCTCTCCATCTTTTTCATTTTATTCTTGCCCATTTTTACACCATTCGCTGATGTTGTTTGAGGTTTCTCGCATCCTACTTTGTTGGATAAAGTAGATAGTGGTTTATTCTTGTTACTAGTTCTCTCCATCTTTTTCATTTTATTTTTGCCCATTTTTACACCATTCGCTGGTGTTGCTTGAGGTTTCTCACATTCATCTGTTTCGTTCACTTCTTGCGCATTAGAATTAACCTCGTTCCAAAATTTTCTATAACCACTAACAAAATCTGTTACATCTTTGCTTGGTTTAACACCGTTAACCCAAGGGTTATTTTCATTAGCTTGCTTGGATGGTAGATTACTCGATTCGATGGCCTCATCTTCAGAATCGCTGTTGGTAAGTTTAGTTTTTTGGGTAAGTTCCCGACTTACAGCCAGTTGTTGAGCCAGTTCTTTTCTACTCTAGAAATAAAATTTTCAATTAATTCCCGTTAACAATAAATCTATCGAACTTACCTCTTTATCATACTTTGCTCTGACTTGCTTATTCCTAGCCCATTGTCCGGTTCCCTTGTGCCTCAAACTGAACCGTTCTTCAGCCCTGGCCTTCTCGATGTCGTCTAATTTCTTCAGAGCTTCTTCGGGATTCGTTTTTTGCAGCTCCTCGAATTCTTTTAGCTTCTGTTTGATTTTCTCCCTGCGCAATATCCTGTGGTATTTTTTGCTCTTGATTTTGTTCTGCCGTCGCGCTTTCGCCTCCTTGAAGTGCTGGTGGGCCCGCAGCTTGGCGGCCTCTTTCCTCTTCTCCTTCAGCTCGCTTAATGTCAACGGAAATTCATTGTTCGCTTCGTCAGTGTCTATTCTGTACTCTTCGACTTTCGGCTCTAGAGCTTCGATTTTCTTTTGCAGCTCGGACTTGACTCGAAACGTGCTAGGGTACACCTGGGCTTCCTTTTCTATAGTTTTCACCTTCTCGACAGAGCCTAGGGGAAAGCGAAGTTGGGAAGCTGATCTGTTCGATGCTACCAAAGCTTCCCAACGATCTAATTGAAGCCTCGATTTCTCGTAGTTTAAAGTTCTTTTAATCCGCTCTGCTTGGGGCTTTTCTAGTGGTTTCAGCAGCGTTTTGGTCCTACCGCTTACCGATTTGAGCTTCTGGACAATCTCGGCATGTTTACGTCTATCTTTCAACGTTTTCGTTAACTCGTTAATATGCACTGTGTGATTGTTGCTCAACGATTTCACTAAATTGAATTCCGATATCTGAGTAGTGGGCTCGGTCCTGTAGGGGCTCTTCACATTTTGCACTTTGTTTAGATTTAATACGTTCGCGATTATTTTATCGTGTTTTTTGTCGTCGATTTCGTGATCGGAAAACTCCAAATGATCGCTATCATCTTCCATTTTGCATTCAAGTTTGAATTAAACTAAAAATGTTTCAAACACACTCGTTTTGTGAACAGCACAAGTTAAAATGTGAGGTTAGGTTAGGTAAGTGATGTCAAATGTGATGTCAATGTCACAGGTGTTGTGGTTGTTAGGTATAAAAGTAGAAGGCCAGTTGTCCTTTTTCAAACATGTGTCACTGGCTTTTAGTGATTTTTCGATTATAATTTGAAGGTTGGCGACAATGTTTTAGTGAAATCGCTGTTAGGGTGTATTGCTTCGCCATTTTATCAGTATTTTAATAAATTTAAGCCGATTTTTTATTCGTTTCGATGTAATTCGCATTAGTGATTTAGCAGTTTCGTGACAAAAATATGAGATTTGCCCGTGCCTTAAAGGTGAGTGGAAAAACAGTCCCTGTGACATTTAAAAGGTTTGTTGGCCTCCGCGTTCGATTTGACATTTTAAAATAAAAAAGCCAATTAGCGAATTGGCGATAAATTTTTATCAATTCGATGAGATAAACTACATTCATCTAATGTAATATCCCTTCAATTTTCGAAACAACTCGACGGATATCCTACTAAACGGCCGGGTTGTAAGACACTCCTAGTTAAAAAACAAACTTGACAACTTCGCATTTATGTGTGAATAATAATAATTAGAAAGGCTGCGATTGTTGCTTGAATTGTTGCTTAATTCGTAATAATTGTTGTGTAAATATATACTCTACTTATGCTTCGAATTAATGGGGTCAAATTGTGGATTTGTTGTGGTTGGAAAGTGGATACTCCCCCTAATGAGTCACTTCCTATTTACTTCTCTAATAGCCCAAATATAAATTAATTTTTCGTTTATTACATTTATAATACCTCTATTATCGCAAGAAAAGCGTTAAACAATTATCTGGTAAATGTACGAGTTGTGCTATTAAAAATTCATGTAATCCAGTCGAGTTTGTATCGCGTAATAATAATTACGCAATAAACTATTTGCATGATCTGAATACCTAAATATTTATTCAGCTTGGCTTAGATTCGAAATGGAAAGAACCCATACTACTATTTACTTTAAAAGGTAAATATGCTGCATTATAATTTTCATTCCAACGTGTTGTTTTTTCGAATAAATTGTGAACTCGATACGAAAATTTCTTATTCAACGTGTAAATTACCCGGCGTTTTAGCGGCAGTCATGCGTGACTGTTGTGATCTATTTCACGTTTGATTTACTGTTAACTTTGAACCTAAGAATGTACTTACATACAATAGATTTTGTTGTTTACTCCGAGCATTTTGTCAGTAAAGAGCTATTTAATTAGTTCTTTTTCCCGTGCGTAATTATTTTTTGACGATAAATTATTTTAATGTATCGTGCATAATTAAACAAGTTGGTATCTTAAAAATGTTTACATGTCATGGTAATTAGTAATAGAAATAATTCAGTTCAAGCATAAAGTTGGGTTTTCGGTCGATTGTTTAAAGAGACCTAGTGAGTAAATAGACTTTATTTTATGATTACAGCACTATTTCGATTATGAGTATTTAATTAAATTGGAAAGGCTGCGTTAAGTAAACAGATATTTAATCATGCCTCTGCCGAAGAGGTTAATCGAACCCGTATACGTAACTAGAGGCACCTTACCCGAAGATTACCCTTTACCATCTGAATTAGAAGCCGTAACGAACGGAACATTAGCCAATACGGTGCGACAGCTTTCTTCTCTCTCCAGGTAACTATTAAATTCATTTTAATAAATTTAAATGATTAAATTTCATTTACTTTTCGCAGGCATGCCGAGGATTTATTCGGGGAGTTATCGCGCGACGCCCAGCAACTCTACGATCGATCGAATTCCCTTCAAGCTCGCATCGATCGACTGGCCATAAAAGTAACCCAATTGGATAGCACGGTGGAAGAAGTATCCCTGCAGGACATCCACATGAGGAAGGCGTTCAAGAGCAGCGTCGTTTTCGATCAACAGGTCCGTTAAATCGATCGAATACAATTATTAATCGATTAATATCGTTTGCATTGCAGATATTTTCGAGGGAAACGATGCCGACGGCGATGCAGGAAACGTACAACGTGTGCGACAAACCGCCGCCCCTGGACAAATTGAATTGCTACAGGGACGACGGCAAGGACGGCTTGAAGTTCTACACGGATCCGAATTATTTCTTCGATTTGTGGCGACAGGAGATGCTCAACGACACCGAAAGGATGATGCACGACAAGGGCAAGAAGCCGCACCGGCCGAGAACGAAGGACAGCGGTCAGGGATACAGGCACAAGAAGGGCGTCAGACAGCCGCACAATACCAGAGAGAGGCAGAAACAGATCGCCAGAGAACAAGGGGAATACATCATGCCTCAAAACACGATTTATAGGTACATATTGAATTTGTATGTTGGTAGCCGAACGTCATTTCTATTGACAGTAATTTAAATTAAAGTGTATTAATAATCTCTTGTACGCCAATTCGAAACGAAAATGTTAATGCCGGTTAAAATACTTGCTCATAACAGGTTCGTATGTCAACTAACTCACGATATACATTCGCATTACGAAGATTCTAACGGTTATTTTTGTCATTAAGGACTCCGCAACAGATCCACCAGTCGCAAATACCCGCCGAGGAGCTGATGATGCCGCAGCAGCACGTCCAGCAGCGCCCGCCCCGGCCGAATTCGATCGAAATCCGGCGCTCCTATCAGCAGGAGGTGCCCGACGGCATACAATCCCCGGCGTATCCTCCGTACGACGAGAATCCGTACCAGCATGGCATGTACGGACAGGGTCCTCTCAGTTCGGAGTCGCTCTACGCCGGCGGCACGCCGACCAGAGGCAGCAAGATAAGACCGAGCGTACCGCCGCCGGCGCCGCCCAGCAACAACAGCACGCCGTCGGCGAGCACGCCGACCAGAGGCAGGGGAATCCCGGCCGGAAGGTAAGTTATTACGAGGGAATAACAGTAGATTTGAGTGCGTGATATATCCGTTGTTGTAGGGATAATTTACCGCCTCCGCCGCCACCGCCGGAAGCGTCGATGTCGCCGCCGCCTAACGGCATACCGGCGCACGTCATCAGACAATCGAGCCAATCGAGATCGAACAGCCCGCATTCGCAGCACGCCGATACGCCGGAACCCGTTCAAGATCTACCGCCGCCGCCGCCAGCTCCCGTTAAACAAGTCAGTAGCATTCTCCATATAATTAACAAAACATCGAATGATTCGATCGTTTCGTTGCAGGCGTCGCCTCCGAAGCAGCAGACGCCGGTGGCGCCGCCGCCGCCGCCTCCGCCGCCTATGCCGATGCCGATGGTCGTCAACGGTCCGACGATGACGCCGATGTTGAACGGCGATTTGGCGAAAATACTGAATTCGGCGCCGCCGAAATTGACGCCGGTGAAGGACAGGCCGATGTCGAAGCCGCCGATGGTCGATCCGAGAAACGACCTGCTTAAGGCCATCAGGGACGGGATTAAGTTGAGGAAAGTGGAGAAAATCGAGCAGAAAGAGGTGGGTTTTTGGTTGACTAGTCGTCGGGCGTATTTTTTATTATATTCGTTGTAGGTTGAGAGGGGTAACGGTTTGCACGACGTGGCTAGCATCTTGGCCAGGAGGGTGGCTGTCGAGTTTAGCGAGTCGGAGTCCGGCAGCGATTCGGAGTGCGACAGCGAGGGATGGGGCGAGAACGAGACGTCGGCGTGACATAGAAGAAAGGCTAGCACGGCTAGTCAGGTATATTGAAAGAGAGAAAGACAACGAAAGAGGCGATGAGACTGTTTTGAGGAACAAGTGAGCTTGTTGTTGTAGGGAAAACGTGCTGCGATGGTGTGTGTGTATTTTTTTTATTATTTCTGTGCCTGTCTTATGGGTTTTTAATCGTGGGTGTTTGATGATCGTTTAATAAAAGGAAACTAGTCAGACGCTTTATTTGTAATTTTTGGTATGTAGTAGCCTTTTTTGGATTGTGGGTTTAAAGCGAAATTGACTCTTTTTAGAAATTAAGCACTTTAAATTCGTTGAAAAAAGTATCACCTGTACGATTTATAAGTTGTAAAAAATTTCTATTTAACAGTCTCGATGTCGAATTTGTGGTAAAGCTTCTCTTGTTATGTTTTTATAGTTTATTTATTCACTAAAGTACCAAGATTTAAAAACGTTGATGAAAGGAATTTTAAGTAAAATAAGTATTGAAAAGTTACCTAGGTGTATATTATGGTTCCCTTGTAGGTAAACAAATCATTGAGAATGTAACAAATTTCAACAAACAGTTTTTTCGAATAGGAAAATAATTTAATAAGTACTCTAACCACTGATTACTATAGTATTATTAACTTTAATACTTGATAAAAGACGTTTGTGTATATTTTGCTAGATGTAAATTTTTTTAAACGTTGAATTTTTATTCTCTATCGGAATTGTAACGATTTTATGAATTTTTTTTAATTACCACTTTCCATGGAACTGTATAGAATTATTCCTAGCTGATGCAAACTTCAGTATTATTACCTCAAAAGTTGTCTTCAATGCCACCCCTAGCCTGATTAGCAAAAGTAATACCTATTTATAAAGGCTTCGATTTTATACTTGAAATTATGTTAGTTTTATAGTAATAAACGTGGCATTGGGTGCAAAAAAACAATGTTTACTATGAACGCAGTGAGATGGTATGTAAGGACATTTTTTTATAAATTTCGAATCAAAAATTAATCAAAACGCCATTGTTGTAAATATTTTAATAATTCCTTTCTTGAATAGAAAACGTTCGTATCTCACTGGCGCCGAGTGTATGATTAAATTCCATGTATATTTTTTGTAAAGTAATATCCAGCTTCGGTTTTTAAATATGTAGAATAAGATGTAAAATAATACTTATTTAACTCTAATTATTCTAATACTCTTTTCAATTACAGTCAAACCATTTGTAAAAAAATATTTAATGGGTAATAAATAATAGTAAAACAATAATAGTTTTTTTATTACAAATCGATAAATTTATAATGCGCCAAAAATTTTAATTTTTATGAAATGATTTCCTCTTTTTAAATATTAACATTTACCTACTCGGTAATTCAGCAACTAAACGAACGTATTTAGTATTAAATCGAAATTCCCTAAAAAAGTGTTGGTAGCAATTATTTTTGTAATGACAGTGACATTTATTGGTTATAAATACGGTAAATATTGAAATATCTTGTTTAGTCTGAAAATTAAGTAGGAAGTCGTTTGTTGAGTGCTTCAGGGCGTTTAAATCGTTTATAAATCACAACATGTGTGGTACGTTTTTAAATTATTATTTAAAATAACACTTTTCAGTAAATAACACTTATTTTCAATTCGTACAAATAATAAAACCAGTACATTTTGTATTTATTTGCTGTTGACATGGCATATTTATTATCAGTGTTATTTTATTTTAATTTCGCATTTACGTTTGCAAAAATATTGTTAAATCGTTAATTCTATAAATATTTTAAGGTGCACAATTATTACTTTTATTATTTCGAAATGACACGCAAATTTAACAGAAATGTTTCATTATATAATAAATTTAAATACTTGCAATAATCGTTCGATAATCTAACCGTTGCCGAGCGTAGTTAAAGTGAAAGTTGAAATAATAAATTCATATATCAACGAGACATTTACCTACCTCGCCTAACTATTGTTATTCAACGTTATTGCAGGCGTTTCGCAACCCATGCACACCTCTCACAAATCCAATGCGAAGGGTGCTCTTGCAAAATGCAAATAAATTAATTGCACAGCAATTAGAAGTTACATAAAGAGAGCCACTTTTGATAAACTCCATTAGAAAGTCATTTACAAAGTTTAGTTAAAAATATGGCTGAGAAATTTAATTAATTTACTGGGAATATGTTCTGTAAAACTGGCTGAAAGATAAGAGAGGAAATAGAGCTGATAAATTGTTTTTGGATTAAGTTATTAAATTTGTATAGTGTAGTATAAAGGCTTAGTTGTTGATATTAAAATTAAATAGATGTATACTTTTCGAAGAATGCATATTATATTCGATGAAATTAAATCTTAAGGTATCGGTTTTTTTGCCAAGAATTCAGGAGATCTGTCGCTTTCAGAATGCCAAGGTTAACTTCTTTCTATTCTTACAGTGATATGAAAGCAAAGGTATAAATTGGCTTGAGCAGCCATAAATTTTCTGTTAAGTATGCGGCTTTTTTCCATATAAAATTCGCCTGATTTATCCGAATGTAGCGAAATATGCTTCATTTTTTACGATACATCGGCTTATGTATGTTGCAATGTTTTTAGGAATTGTCACTATTATATTTGATGTGATTAGTTTCTATAATCCTTAAATGAAATAATGCGATCGATATCTACAATACTTGTAAAAAGGAAGTCGATTTTATACTCCTACGGTGACACAAAATTTCGTTTATAATTACGCGTTTTCACACTACATAACACTTTGCTAATTTCGATTTATCTAGATTTGCATAGATAAAGCACTTTGTCGAGACGAATTAAACGAATCCATTAATGTTTGTTCAATTTTTACATACACTCGATAATATCCGTTGTATTGTAAGAAACTTATCTGATATTCGTGATTTTTTATCTCTAATGGATATTTTACAAGTAATATAATTAGACAAAAGGTTAAGTGCATCGATTCCACGAAAAACCTAGCCGAATGATTGCTACTATTAACCAGAACACTTGAACATGTATTTGCTCTAATTAAGTATAGCTTATAGATAAGTAATTATAGAAATTTTGCAGGAATTTTTTGCTATTTGAACTACTTGACGCCGAAGAGGCGTGAAGAAATTTTGGAATTGCTGGTGAACGGGCTGAAGCGGTTGGAGTACCGCGGATACGATTCCGCAGGTAAAAATCCACAACACTTTCGCTCTCTCGAATAATTTATTAACATTTATGCAAAAAAATACACAGGTGTAGCCATCGATTCGGCGGACGCCAAGGATACCTGCATTATCAAAAAGAGCGGAAAGGTCGCATTGCTCGCGCAAGAAATCAAAAACAGTAAGTATATTAATTTATTTTACGATTACATTCTAAGCAATTAAAACTCCAGGAAGCGAAGATTTGAAATTCGATGAATCGGTGGACGTGCACTGCGCCATCGCCCACACGCGCTGGGCCACGCACGGCGTTCCCAACGAGGTCAACAGCCACCCCCAGAGATCGGACGAACACAACGGGTTCGTGGTCGTGCACAACGGCATCTGCACCAACTACAAGGAGGTGAAGGTGTTCTTGGAGAAGAAGGGCCACCGGTTCGAGAGCGAAACCGACACCGAGATCATAGCCAAGTTGATCTATCACTTCTACAAGCAGCACCCCGACTACTCGTTCAGGGAACTGGTCGAGAATGTCGTCCAACAATTGGTGAATATTTTTCGAATTGATACGTTTCTACTTCCGAGCTATGAGCAAACCTTTTAAATATCCTACCCTTGGTTCAAGCCTACTATGATCTAAGCAACTTAATTGTCACACGTCAAAACTACCACCTGTCATTGAAACCGCTAAACCACAGTATCATTCGACCCTATAATAGCACAATATAAGCTTACTTCATTAAATATTTTACACATTGTTTCAAAATTTACATCTTTTTTACCTTATTAAGCGATTAAATTGCCTCGAGCAGCCTCCCGTGATCTAAATACTTTTACCTTTCAATGTGACAGTCGGCAATGACAGTTCGGAATTTTTTGACTTGTCACAAAATGGCGGAGATGGAAACTTTACGGGAATATTTTTTCAGGAAGGCGCTTTCGCGTTGTGTTTCAAATCGAAATACTTTCCGGGCGAGTGCGTGGCCACCCGTAGGGGTTCCCCTCTGCTTGTCGGCATCAAGACGGCCACTCGATTGGCCACTGATCACGTGCCCATACTCTACGGAAAGGGTAAGTTGAGCTGTTTTTTTACGATGTTAATCGAACGTTTACGAAGCGAGGATATTGCAGTGGATTTTTAAAAATTTATAGCGTTTTGGAGGGTGTTTTGGCGGATATTTTGTCTAGCGTATTTAAATTATAAAGGGTGTTAAACAAATATGGAATATGTTGATAAATTTAGTTTTATTTCTACTTTGGCAACAGCGCTCATTGTAAGGGTGTATTAGATTTGATTCTCTTTTTGGGTAAAATAACATGCGGTGTTGCCAAGTGGTAAAATATTGGCTTAATACCCTCTTCTATAAACAACTATAACGGGGAATTTAGTGGGGAAATTTGCAATAACGACGAGTCTTAATGGATAAACTACGCAAAACACTCTGCATATACTTTTATAAAAATTTAATAGTCTGTATTTTAAGAATTTGCTGTTAAATTATTCTCTTTTTCTTATACAGAACCAATTGATTACCTAGAAAGAAATGGTGGTAGGTTGTGCATGCTAACTAACGATTTAATTATTATTATTAGATAGGGAAATGCTTTGTATATGCATGCGTTTTAATTAGTTCTATTTTATATTTATTATAACGCTTACTTTATACTTTAACAAAATTGAATTTTGCCTGTAATTTTGTTCAAACATGCATGAATATTAATGAATTGCAAGCGTTATCAATATGCTAACAAATATTTTTTTCTTTTATATCTAACAACAATTCACACTAATCCGCATGTTTTTTTTAATTATTTTTGGAACAAATATTAATTTTACTTAACTGTCGTTCTATCTAATCACATATTTGTTATTTTTTTTCTTATTTATTTGTATCCCTGGATTCTTTGGTCACTAAATAGAAGATCCTCCTCCGTCACCAACTGCATCAGCAGGTACATAAAATGAAATAAAAATTACGCTTTTTTTATACTAACGCATTTTCATTCAGAAATTTCGAAAGGGATTTATTTGTACACCTAATTTTTGTAAATATGTAATTTAGATTAAAATAAATTCCTTTTGGAAATGTTTCGTTACACGACTACATCCTACACCTGAATATAATACTCGTAATTGTTTTGGTTGTATTCCGCAAACGTGGTTGTAGGAAAAATACGTTATTTTTCATTTATGTACTCATTACCTGTAATTAATTTAATTTAATTTTCGATTCATCAGATAACGTTATCTTTGTTGTGTTTGCTGTAAGATCGAGAAAAATAATACTTCGATATTTTCGATGGGATTAATTTGGGGTTTTCTACTTTTTGCACGGCCATGGAAAATTTATTGTAACACCATTTTCACACATCGATTTTCGCATTGCTTTCATATGAGATATTTCAACAGAAAAAACGATGAAATAAATATTGCAATATTTTTATTTTTTTACCTCTGTTGAACATCTCCATTAAATCGTTATTTGTGTCTTTATTTTTTAATGCTATTTGTTTTTGTCCTTTGTTTTGTTTTATGGGTTTCTCCTGCAGAGGCGGATTCCAATCCAGGTAGTACCGTTTATATTTTTTTTTATTTTAATTTTCGTTTTGGCTGGTGCTTTCGATTTTAACGTAGCTTTTTTTCTTTTGTTGTCTTAAGATCTAACAGGTGAAGGTGGTTTAGTTGTAAGTAAATCTCTAATTATTATGTTAATAGAAGTATATTTAGTTGTTGTCGTTTAAACTTTATTAGCATTTCTTGTTTAATCAAATTTATTATTGGGAATTAATGTTAGTAATAGTTTGGTGCAATCGGTAACTTTTGTAAGAATATATTACATGAAATTTAAATACTGTTGTATTAATTTTGCACTAAACTATTCTTCTTATTGTAAATTGGCTTGTTATGTTATATGTACTCACTTTGTCCCATTTTCTAAATTGATTCTAATACAAATTTATAAATTCTAACATTAGTGGGACAAAGCTAGTAAAATAAATAACCGGTGAAAGTTGTAACAAAACCCAATCATCCCCCGTATCAAGAAATTTAATCCTAAATGGAAAGTAAGTTAATTTCAAATGAGCGTCATGTTTCGATTA